ACGAAATTAATTTGAATTTGTATTCTATAAGATTCTTATGAGGGACATCCTGTATTTAGCACATCAGTCGTATCATTATGTATGGCTTTAGTTATTCCCAAAATTCCGATTATTATGAAATTCGCGTAGCCCGAAGAGCTGGGGACCTGGCTTAAATAAGCGATTTACGCTAAAATAACGTTGACACATGACAGGCTGGTTCGCAGATGTCGCTTCTTCTTTATGTAGATTCGCTCTCAGCGTTACCCTTTCGATTATTCCTTATTTGAAAGGATCGAGGAACGAGTCTACATTGTTGCAAGAATAATTCCAGTATTACAAACTGAGTAATTAGAGTAATTACTTTAGAAATACGGAGAAATTTACTCGACGAACTTTCCGGAATCCTTTCGAATTCGCTACACTACAATTACGTTTTAATGCGAACGTATTTTACGTACGAATCCTTCTCTAAACAGGTGACGATTTTCAATTACTTTTGAAATTGTTCCTCGAAGTATCTACTACGTTTCGAATGTAATTGTTATATGAAGATGAGTATCTAAAATTGAATGGGATTTAATTAAAATAACTACCGAATTTCCAGCACGGGTTAATTAACCGATTATTGTGAGAAATGAAAACTCGACGTACGGCCCTCGTAATACTTAAAAATTTCTCATTTCCCATCTTTGGTCGGGCGCGGAGTAGAAACCTTCGAAGAGGTGTGTTTTCTTCTACGGTAATTTGTTGGCGATCCTGAAAGGTTTGCTTAACCCGAGATTAAAACTAACTGATAATTACATAATAACCACGTTGGTAAAGCTGGCAACTGCTGTTGGGCCATTAATAACGGCCAAAGAGACCGTTTAGTAATTTATTTGTTCAATTACTGACCCATAACAATTAAAAACCGGATTTGTAGAAGGCGATGCAATCGATGGTACTTTTTTTTTTGTTATTTAATTTTCGATTTCAATTTTCTCTGATTCAATTGCTGGCGTATGTGTGTGTGTGTAATAACAATTACTAATGGGTTGTATTTCATAAAGATGAATATAATTTAAAATAATCCTTTTAAGCGCACTTTAATGGAATAGAATATTAAGGACAATTTTAACCATATGAAAGTCAATATTTGATTAATTTTTTAGGGAATTACTGGACACAAAAAGTGTACTTTTTAACGATAGAATTAATGAATTATTTTATCAGCAGGTAAAGGTAATTCAAAACCGAATAACTTTTCCAATTCCACCGCGTTATTTCTGCGACTGTACAAGCGAATATTGGTCACCTGAAACAACATAATTATTAGTATAATCGATGTTTCGGATTTATTGCAGTCCGATATCGTTGCAGTCACGTTCGCTAGTATCGAATGGTCGATTCCTCCGCGTCCCGCCATTATTTTAAATATTTAACAAATGGCACTAAAAAGGAAATTAAAAATTCGATTCCTGCAGGCTAACCCGAGACGCGAATTAAGCGACTAGATGGTTATATATACAAAAAAACTCATGATTATATTCTCTTAATTCACACTCATTTATAGAAGAAAAAACAACCAAGGTATTCATGCTCGTCTAATAAGATCCAAATTAAGCCCTCCGCATTCCACGGGCGTCCTCTAAAAAAAAGCCATTATTAATATTTTGACTTATGACATAGTCGGAGTCCGGCATTATCTGTAATCTGAAGCCTCTGAATTACAAGAATACCCCAACTATTATTCTTTTGCTGGCCGAGGCGGGATTATGAACACGTATACCGGAGTTAGGTGTAATATTTTCTTCGCGCCCCCCGTCGGTATTTGTGTGAAGTGATAATATACAGGGCGTCCGGCGCTATTATATCATACTTCGTAAATAAGCGATCGGAGATTTATCAGAGGTGAATTTAGATTCGATTATAAGCGCTTATTCACCGGGAAGATTCCTTTACTTATTCAAATAGTAGATATTCTCGGTGTGGGTGTATTAATACTACAAGGTAATTAAAAAATTTTGAGGAATGTGAAGAGGTAGGGAGGAAAATCACTAAATAGATAATAAAAGGATCCTATTAAAACTTTAAAATTCCTTGGCAAAAATCTATTAAATTCATTGACTGTAAAGTGTAAATAAAATGACATTTTTTTTGTAACAGGAATCAAAATAAAAATCAACAAACCATAAACATTAACGAAAACTCAGCCGAGCGGCCGAAATCTCATTAACAAACGAAAAACAACGAAACTTATCAGCTTGTAATTGTCAAGGTATCGGCCTTACAGGCGTTGTATCGCTTGAAATGTGTGATAGCACCTTTTAAACAAGTCATTAAACAAGAAAGGATTAAATTACGAATAGAACGTGATTTCGAACGACCGTTGAAAAAAAAAATAAAAAAGAAGAGGTAAAGTTCGACTAATTTATGCGCCGCTATCCGAACCTCGTAACAAAATAGGCCGATTTTATTATGTAGGTAAAAGAATTTTATTGTCCGGAGTTTTTTGAAATACATCTCAAAACTTTAAATTGTTTATTTATTCCCAAGAATAATAGTCTACAATTAATTGGCCTCAAAGTATACTCGGCACATTAGCTTTTAAAATTTTAAAAAACAAATAGAAAACCGTAACATTTCAATCGATCGTTACATCGAAAACTATACAAGACTTTCAATACCGTCGATTGGATTTTTTTTAATTATCCCTCATTCATTTTCCCAGTTCTCACGATCTAGAATTATCTCTCTCCACCTATAAAACGTTATCACAATACCAAATTATCATTTACCGCAGCAGAGCGAGTGGAAGAGATCGATTTAGAGCGAACTTCCAATCGTTTCGTTTCTAGCATTATCTCATTAAATGCAATTACGTTTTTTCCCCGCCGGATCATTGTGAAAGGACCAATTTAATGTTTATAAACACTTCTAACAACTACCATAACCTTTAATTTAACAGATCTAACGCAATATTCCACGTAATTGATTATTTTCTCGTTTACTTATTTATTGATACAACAATTACCGCTTTTTTTTAATAGCTATACAACGGTCTAACATTAAATTTAATTTACTATAAATTGTTCTATATAAGTGTATTGAAAAAGATTTCAAATTTTCCCTAAAGATTGCAACGTTGCCAAGTTAATAAAAAAAGTCGGCGTTTTAGCGAATATTAATTGGTGTTTATATAAGCAACACCATAATAAATCCGGATGATGAGGTAATTAATCGAAATCGATAAGCTATAGAGAACGATAGGAGGGAAGAATAATAAAATAAAATAAAAATAAAAAAAAAGAACAGGCCGAAACGTAAACACCTGATATCCCCCCAATATCGTTAACAAATGGCCGTGGAGGCATCAAGGTGGGTAAAATAGCGACGAGTCGACAATTACACTCTGACGTCGACCATTAATTATAACCTAACCTGTGGTTAGGACTTAACAAGCTGTCACAAGTAGATTGTTAGCGTTTTATTTATGAGAATTTAAACGCAGGCTCTAGTGCCCGTTCAAGACGATGAGGCTAATACGGACGAGAACAATATCTTCACAATTTTATTATCCTTATATATATATATATTTTTTTTTAATAAATTAATAAACGTTTAAACGTCGCGTCGCTTCGAAATGATGATGATGAGTGTCTCGATGTGAAAATTCGGATAAATTGTTTTCTTCGAATACTCTTCATACAACAAATCATTCTTCTTTCTATATAGGCTTCATCTGCACGAGTAGGATTTTATTTCTATATAAATATCTATGTATATGTTATATAGAGTTAAGTTTATATAGTACTATAGGTATAGTGTGGTGTCTCAATCTCGGCGTGGTCGTGTCGTAACACCTATACAATGTACGATTACAATGAAGTTCAATTTAATTTCTGTATCATAGAGAATTTACACAACAGCTAATAATCCGTGAAATATATTACTCCCTTTAATTTGTCGAACGTCATTTCGGTTAATGCTTGTCTAATTCTCAGAAGAGATAAATAAAACCGTCCCATAATACGTCCGAATGGGATTATTAAAAGTGCTCGAACGTTATAAACGGAACATAAACTCCTGAATATGTTAATAAAATTACATATAAAAAAAACAGTATTCGGAGTTACTTATTTCTTTTTTTTTTCGTTGGGTTCCAGTGTGTACCTTACCTTCGGTAATATATCACGGGAATTTATGCGTTTTTTATTGATGTAAAATCTCGATTAAATCCGAATTAAATGTCTTAACGGTCGCGCGAAGGAGTAGACACTCCCTTCTTCTCGCCGGTTTATATACTGCAGAGGACGCTGTAAAAACTATATTATCACTTCGAAGATGCCAGCGGGAGTCCTGACAAAATACGCTTCGTCCTAGAATCGAGCCGGCACAAAAACGAATGATGTCTCTTTTTTATATTTTCTGATTTAAATTTTCTCCCTTCGATTCTACATCGTTTTAATCGATCGTATTAATCTGTAAACTTTCATTAAATCGAATTTTGACTATAAAATGATAGAAATCTTTCGCTCAATTGATCACAATCTAACACTAAACGCCAAGAAATAATTCCTCCAATTATCTAATTAAATTTGGGAATGTAATGTCAAGACTATTAAAGTGATTGCAATTACTGATGTGACATAAGTAGCATTGATTTTAATAGGTTATATGATATTCTCAGCGAAAATAAACGCACACCTTGTTGTATAACAACGCTAATTGATTGTTTCAAATTATTTTATAATCGCTCGCTGGGAAACATGATAAAATGCGCGATATGCTCAAACGATTGACGTGTTATTTACAGTGTAAGTGACAATAAAAAAAAATATCTCGCCGGTAATTAAGAGGAAAAAATATCTATGAGTAATTAGATTGTCGATTTCATTGTTGTTAATTATAGATCTCGCGTTGTAAATTGTAAATTACTCGAGTCGTTTGGAATTTTTTTTGATATGTTATCAGATAAGTTGGTGTAATTATGTGAAAATTCCTGTATTGAGGAAAAATGATGGAAAATGCGATTTAATAAAATTCTTTTTATTCTATAATTACAAGTTTTAAGTAGGTACTTAAGTACATACAAACTGAACATATTTTGCAATTTCTACAAGTTTTAGGTACTTCGAATTCATCAGAATAACGTTTCCCTTAAGAGGTATTTACAATTTTTTTAGCGAAAAAAGACAAATAATAAATAATTTTTGGGATTTTATTTTCGCTATTAATTGTTAAATACATCCCAGGGAAGACTCTCTACTATTATTGAACCAATACAAGTTCTCTTATTATTCAAATACCTACGTATTATTGATATAATTTTTGATAAATCAATCGTAATTAACAAAATAATTAGACATAAAAAAACAATCATGCCAATATTTATTGTGATATTACAATAATTTTTTAATACTGACTAATTGAGAATAATTATGTTTTACGCAAATACATCTGGGAAGCAAAAATTAATCAGACGTATAGGCTCTTATAAATAATTTATAAACTTGTACAAATTTTATGTTTGTAGGTACAATAGAAATTTTGTAAGAGAACGTTTATTAGATCTAACATTCTGATGAAATAGGTATTAATATGAACATTACGAATGCATACAAGTACAAAAAAAATCATACGTAACTCAAAACAAAAACATATATTCACACTTTTCGTTTTCGTTTTTTTATATTGTGTTTTATCCGTAGATATGTTAAAATAGTAAAAAATGTTTATGTACAATCATCACAGAAATTAAAAGTTTCTTTTCATGTACTTATGGTATCTCATTTTTCCCAAATCCAATCGATTTGGGATCATTTCTTTGTGACCTAATATTTTTTTAATTAACTCTATTACAGTTTTTTACAACTTATTTGCACTAATTTTTGACGAATGATTAAACAATAAACTAATTTAGAAGTACGGTAAGAAGAGTGCTTAAATTATTAAAAAAATATTAGGTCACGGTTTCATATCAAATTCGATTTTAAATTAAACAAAATGTTGATAAATTTAATTTTCTGTTTTTCACGTTGTTTTTGTAAATTCGAATTCGTTATTGAAAGTACACTCGTTTCGAATTCTTATAATTAAAAAATAATACATACAGTGACGACCAAAATACTGTTATATACAGGATGTCCCCAAACATGATATAGAAGGATAATTATGAAAGTCATCGTAATATTGCTGATTTTATTTAGTTTGGGACAGCCCGTATTTAATGCTAAATTTCTAATAAAAATAGACTTTAAATAGTTATTTTAGGATTGTCTGGATATTGCCATTGTTTTCCTACAACAAAATACATTATCAAGACACAAAAAAATTATCAAAATTGTCGAGTATTTTGACACTGCACTCTAAACACAAAGACATGCCACATTGGGTAAATTAGATTTAAGGAACAACTATTGGTCCACACTGTACATAATTTAATATACTATAATGAATTGACGCGCAAAACCAAACGCGCTTCCTCTCACAGTAAAAAAAAATAGTCAAAAAGAAAACACAAATACTTTGAGACCTAAATTATATACAACAAAAAAAAAGGATAATAAATATATAATTTCATAAAGGAAATAAATAACTATGTACATTTGATAATTTTCAAAACTACTATAACAAGACGAATTTCTCTCATTCCTTCGAATCCTTTGAAAATTGGCACTAATAACAAGAAGAGTTTGGCACGCAGAATTGGCACTAAAACGAACCGTCCGTTTTTTCCTCGGGGTTATTGCAACTCGGCATCGATCCGACTTCTCCCAAAATTTAATTTACACATAAATTATATGTACAGACAAAAAAAACCTCTCGCCGACGAGAAAAGAAAACTCTCGCGAGGAATCGCAAAATCGATATAGTCATGTCCCATCGAAATTCCCGATTCCCGACACCTCTAGGTCTCACTTTCAACGTCACTAATGCACTCGTCCTCCATGTCCATGTCTATGTACTCCCCGTACTCGTCCGATCCCTCCTCTTTCCATTTATTTATCTGGGAACTGTTTTGAGAGCCGTTCTGCGAATGCGGCGATCCCGATTTCTGCCCGTTATTCGTCTTCGCCTCCTCCTCCTGCTGCATCCTTTTGTGCTTCGTCCGCCTGTTCTGGAACCACACTTTCACCTGCAACAAAACAAAAACATCTCCTTCAGAACGTTTTAATTCAATCGAAAAAATGGTGGAGGAACCGCGCGCATCCACCATAATTTAAAAAATTTTACGAACGAAGTCGATAAATAGGAATCGATTAGAATGAAAGTTTAAGGAGCGTCCCTCGACGGGCGTCGCGGCGCCCTAAAGCGCGATAATCGCGTAGGCGAAACGAGTCTCCCGCCAAGATGGCGTTAAACGGTTGGGGCTCCCCCAGCGCCAATAACATTCATCGCGTCTTCCCTTTTGTAATTGTCCCCGCGATCCCTTCCCGATGGGACGGGGCGTCCCCGAGAGGTCTCCTCCGTCGGGTTTTTTGTTTTTTTTTTGTTTCCCTATCCGGCGAAATTGATATAGTTTGATTTCGAAGGGGACGCGCGCACGCGCTGTGCTCTCTCCATCGACCGATCTCTACGATTACAATGGAATTAACGGTTCAAATGAGAGAGTTATCGCGCGATAAATATTATCCTCTTATATAATAATTTCCCAATCAACGACCGCTCAGTCAGTTAGTCGCTCTTGCAACTTTATATATTAGCTATAAATTCGTTCCAATTATTTACGTTATTTCCATTAATAAAACGAAAATATTTCATATACCAAGTACAAGTATAGGTATTTAAACAGGATGTATTAATTGGATTTAATTTTTTAATATTCAATACGCTAACGAATCATGACATACCTGTGGGTCAACGACAGTATTAGCGATATGCTGGTAAATGTAATTACAATATATCATTATATTTCAGTTGGTGAAAGAGCTGCTGACAAAGAGTTCTTCCATATTTCAGCTATTTATTCGAGCAGGGAGTTATTGTGGAAGGGGAAAGATGTAGAAACAAGTCATGGTTTTAAATGAACGTTATTATTGCGTATCGCAATTCATGATCGTTTTATTGAAGGAGGTATTTAAAAAATGGGAAAATATCATGGGAATACATTGGGAATGCTTCGAGTGTGCATTAAAGGGTTACGATAAAGGAGTTGTAGAAGTGCCATTGGTGCACAATGCATCATAAATCATAAATTATAAAGAATGTCGCTCTGAAGAAGAAACGTGATGTTTGGAATATGATAAATATACCATATACAAATATTTTTTAACTAATTAATGCAAAAATTATATTCAAACAAGCAACAAACTCTAAAGTAAAATTTATTTAAATTGTTATTATCTGACACACATTTCTGTTTCTCATTTTATATCTTCAATTATATTTGTCTCTTTGGGATAAAACATGTACATAGCTATTAAGTACGGGTAATTTACAGCGCATATAACCTTCTGTTTGCTTTTACATTTTACATATTTTTAGTATAGGTATAATAACGTTCGTACCTATTTAATAAATAAGTAGATATAATTTATTTTCGAGGCTTTAATGCCACTTAATCACCTCACTAATCAGCGTCTAAATTGGTCCATTAGTTTATGGCTAACTGGTGGTTAATAATAAAATATCTTGTATAATTTTACTTTGTACGGCCAGATGTTAATGTTTACTTGCTAAGTGTGCAGAAATTAATAAAAGATGTAATTTTGGTGTAATTAAATAATTTATATCACAAGATATAATGAATAATTTCTTGTTATTGATAGATTGCGTTAATAAAGAAGTTAATTGCTTATATAAATAAAGGCTTAATTAATGTTAATCTGTAACAAAAAAAAACAATCTAAATGTTCTACACGTTTGTATGTTCACACACATTACAGTCGTTAAAATTTATACCAGGTGTTGTCATTCACCCTTCCAATTGTATATTTAAATTTATAGCTGATTTTTAATAGACCAGCAACCATTTTGAATTTAAAATTCAATTAAATAGTATAAAAAAACAGGAGAATTTTAAATAAATTCGATATTAATTAGTAAATAAATAATTTACAGACGCGAATTATTTCGAATATAATTGACATAAATATGTGGAACGATTTAATATGTCATTATTATTTATAAATTATGTTATAAACGTTTAAATTTTCGATAGGTGTAACTTTTGTCAGGTTTAAAAATGGAAATAAATTATATGGCTAGAATGATGTTCGGCAAAATATATATTTTCGACTGTAGTAATTTGTAAATAAATTTACATAAATAAATAGCTATAAGATTTGAATGAAGAAGAATCGTTCATTCATTATTTTTAATAACTCGAAATGTTCTACTAATTGACTCTCTCTATACAAAATGAAGAATTTTAATTGAACGTAAAATTTATAGGACTGCTATGCAAACTTTTGAGAACGTGCAAGATTTACGCCTTTTCAGCACGTAGACAGATCAAAATGTAATTTATCTATTGCCCTGATTATGAAAATATCATTGACTCGAGATTTTTTTTTTAAATAAAATAAACTATACAAATATATTATCCCAATAAATCCGAAGTTTATTCAGCGCGACTTTAATTAACTCCTCCGGTACATCCCGTGACACAAAGATAGCCCATATAACTTTCATTGTAAATCTCATTTGTTGTTCTCGAAACGAATATAAAAACTATTATTATACGACCATCGTAAAACTCGAACGATACCGAACTGTCTTCGGTTCTTTCGCTTTTACGACGAATAATCCGATGATATCGAGAAACCTCCGACTTTAATAATTGACGAAACGATTCGCCCAGCCATTTATAAAACAGATGAGGTTAATTAAAGTTATCCCCCCGGTCGATCTTCCCGTTTCTATCAGTCATCGTTCGTCCGCCATGTTTCGTAACAACTTCGCTAAGTAGGATGCCGTCTGATAACCTCTCTCAATGAACCTTCGCTGATGTTTCGCCAATTTCTTCGGCTTTGTTTTACTGTTTCGCGCGTTTTACTTGTCTCACAAACGGCCGGTTTCATTACCTTTACTGTTAAATTAACCGAAGATATCGCTTGTACAATGTGAATGTGAGTATAGATTGGTTGTTGAAACCAGTTAAATTAGCGCTGTTTTTTCGCTTGGGAATTAATCAAATATCCTGGTTTATATGTATGTATATAGGTGGGGTATTTCATTATATACGAAAATAATCGTTCGGTTTTAATCCTTTAATACCCGAACGGAAGGTTCGGGATTGGCGATTTGCGAATGGAAAATAAAAAAAAAGGTCGCCAAACGCACGCGGGGCCCTTTTAATAGATTTAACGATTAAAAACTCAAATATAATCCGATCGTACGTATACTGTTTACGTTTCATTAAAATACGCAGAGAAAACTTCCAATCACACGTTTTCAATTAAGAATACAAACACGGCCCCGAATCGCGTCACGAAACCTTTTTTTTAATTTTTAAATCGTTTTTAGTAAATTTTTGAGGAATTATATACATGCACAGCTGTATAGTATAGGGTCAAAAATTATCCACCCTGTGTATGCATACATGATAAATATTTCTTAAACGACAAATAAGAAATTTCCTCCGGTCATCCGAAAACAAGTCTATTATAATCTGTCGGGGTTTGTTCGTTTCGCTTCCCGACAGCGAAAGGTCCCATTGTCGATCATTCTCTCTTCGAACTTCCTGAAGCCATCATCGCAGAAATAACTATATTTACCAGTTTCTTTTCGAGCCATGAAATCTCCAATAAATCATATTTAACAAAACCGTCCGATGTGCATTTAGGCGGGTCGCTCGGCAAAAACGATATATGCAAATATATCGCATTGAAAGGGGGCCCCCATACAGTCAATTTAACAATAAAAACTTTGACAAGCACCAACAGACACACCCACCGCTGCTGACTCCAATTCACAAGTCATTAACCAGTTGACAAACGACCGGCTTATGTATATGCTGTATATAGTGTATATAACTTTATATATTTCCCTTGTATATTATTTATTATTCCGAGTATTTCGCATTTTCGCCTATAATAAAATCGACGGCGGAGTTTTTCATGTTTTCCGGCTAAATCCGGTCGCGAATCGACCGTTTCCTGTTGAAATTCCCGGTTTGTTTCGCAATTTGAGCTTGAAATCGACGCGAAAAATATTTCTTTGTGCTTGAAAAACGCACAAAACTCGACTCGAAGTACCCTTTATAGATAACATTACCATTGACCCATATTCCTATCAGTCGCATTATCTCGACTAATTTAGATGATTAATCAAGAGGCGAACCAGTTAGACTCGCGAGCGATATCTCAGCATAGCGATCTGCCTGATCGAAAGAGAGAAAAAACCCATCGCAAGGCATAAGGGCAGGAACGGCCATTTATATAACGCTAAATCGGCTCGGCAACGTGCCATTAAATTATTAATTTTCGAGCGCGTTATGTTATCAATACTATTAATTAGAAGGAAAATGAATAAATTTTTGATCGAAGATGCCTATCTCGCTTCTTCGGCATGCACTCCCGGAGCCTCGGGGCTTACTGCGTACCAACCTGTCAGATCTTAACGGCATAATAAATAAGTGGTGAAAAAAAAATTAAAGTAGATAAAAAAAATAACCGGAGACGACGAGAGAGGAATTGTCGATAAGGATCTTTTCGCTGGCGCGATTCGATGTAATTTTGGACAATACCTGTGTACGGTTAATAATCGTTTTTCCGCGAAGCTGTTACTAATATTTTATTCATTACATTTCCTCTTAATCGAGAGAAAACTTCAGAACTTTGGTACAAGTCTCGCGAGAGATAGTTGCGAGGAACAAATCGCGCTGTTGTTATTATAGGTTTTTTTTATTTCACAATTTCCAAATGCAGGTAATTAAAGAAAGTTATGTTTATGATAAAAAAATTATCAATACAAAAACGTTGTTTCTTAAAAATGAATAGAATAACGGAAACGGTTCTTTAATAAACTGCTCCACAAAAGTTAAGGAAGTTCGCAAATTTTGCGATTATTTTAAAAGTTACAGAGTTTTTGATCACCAAATTTTCAAATATGCGAAATTAAATGTTTTCTCTCATATCTACAATTCATACTAAATTTGGGGAACAAAAAAACCTGCAACTTTTAAATTAATCTCAATATTTGTGAACTTCCTTAACTTTTGTGGAGCAGTATATTAATAAAAAGTTTCATCGGCGCTATATTGAAAGCATTTTTTTTAATACTGAAGAACTTTTTGCCTAGTATTTACCTAGTTTTTTCTTTCTGTATAGATTCGAGCTCGAGTTTGTATTCTTTATAATAAAATTGCCAATCCTCAGTTTGCAAAATAGTGTAATAGATTGATTTTCGCGAGGTTTAAATGCAACTTTACCGATCGCATTGTTTATATTTAGTGTAATTTTCGTCCGGAACGTGAGGCATATGCTAGGCAGATCCTTCGCGTGCACCGAGAAATGAAAAAAAAAACGACTTCACAAATTACAGTCTCTGATGGAAAAAATTCACTAAACTCCGGTTAATTTATGGGTAAGTAGAAAATATACTGCCGACTCTCACGTTCATGCAAAATAAATGGGGAAAAAATCGTATTTCCTACTTGTTATTGCAACCGAAAGCTTTTCTTTTAGAGTCTATAGAGAATTTTAAATTAAACTAAATTCTACTTAATTCGGTTATTAATAAAATTGTTCCGCTTAGTGAACGTAAAAATTCTGAATTGTATCAATAAATAATAGAATAATTTAGTTGAATTGCAACAGTATCATCTTCTGATTATTTAACGATAAAAATTAGGAAAAATTCCCAACCATTAAAAGAGTAGTAAGTAATTCGTGCTTATTGTCCGGAGGATATTTCGCGCCCAATTGACCTAAATATAGGATAAAAATTTACTAGGAACTGGAAAGTTTTCCGCTTACCTGAGTTTCTGTTAGGGATAACGACTGCGCCAATTGCTTCCTCTCGGCTCCCACCACGTAGTGATTCTTCTCAAACGCGTGCTCTAATTTGAGCAGCTGCGACGGACTGAACGCCGTTCTTATCCTCTTTGGTTTCCTGAAAGGTTGGAGCAGGAATCCGGGAATGTCGGGACCTGGAAAACGATCAGTTTCATTAACTAAAATCGTGTTAACTTTCCGGCATTTTTACTGGAGGTAATAATCTTGCAGGATGCTAATTGACCGGAAAACCCAACCGAAAATACAATGGGAATGTGAATTTGTTAACAGAAGTTTAATTAGGAACGGGTTTTAGGAGGCGAATTATCGGAACCGTTAAAAAAATTTACGGCCCCATAAACGCCCATTTATTGTTTCGGAGACTTATTAAAAGCGACTTATTAAAATATCTATTCATTTTTTTGCCTCTTCTAATTAGAAATTAATGCTAATTCACTTGTTATGCTCCGCATGGGTTTATTTACGACGTATAGCCTCTATACTCGAATAAGAGGAAGAAAAAAAGAATTAACTAGCGTTCGGATATTAATATAAATTATGTTTTAATTGCGGTTATTAAGACATTTTGTTTTGGTTAAAGTCGTCGGAATGCGGCCGTAAAAGTTACACCGTAAAATCTCGATAAGATTCGAAAATAAATAAGAATTTAATATTCGACGGCAAATAGTTCTTGACGTTTATTTAAACATTTACGAGTTTCGCCAATCAGTATTATATAAAGTGTCTTTTTTCCCGAACGTTTTAATTACGTTAAATTGGTTGTAAATAGATGAATAATTTCGCGTATATGTGTTATAATTTTATTACAATTTAATCGCCGTTAGAATTTAATAAATGAGAAAACCGAGAGATCAGAGTTCGATTAGAAATAATTGTATTGAATTTAATTGGATACTTGAAATATTTTTTACTGGATTATGAAGACAGTAAAGGTTTTCCACATATTATTTCTAAATATATTGAACATTTAAATATCCAATAAACCGTGCAATTCATGTGTGATTAACATCAGATTCTTGGGATTCAAAGTACCGGTCGTATTATCCGCAAAATTATATTTAATTGTACGAAAACAGGTGTAGAAATTTTCATTAAAATCGACAAAACAAAGGAACACGCCGATAATAATTTATTTATTTATCGCGGAGTCTCTCGCAGCGATAATCCAATTTGGAGTTAACAAGTTATTTACAGACACCTAGTAGTTTCGTAAACAACAATTTAGAAAAGAGTTAAGACGGCAATAAAGCGGAGATCGTGAGCGCGATTATCGAAAAATATTTCACGAAGTCTCACCTACAACAGGCCACGAAAGTCATCATTTCAATTCCAATGATATTAATTAATTTTACTGTATATGTATACGAAAAGCTTATCCGTTCTCCCCGTGAATTTCCAACGACTATAATTTTCATTGTAGCTATTATTTACAATTTTTTTTTTCTAACAAATCTATAGTTAAATTCCAACACAAAAATCACATGCACTACAATGTGTATAAATAAATGTAGGTATTAAGTAAATATTTTATGCCTATTCAATCACAATAATAATAGCTTGTGAAATTTATAGGTAATAATTAGCGATAATTAATTTTTATTCAAAACAAGCTAACGTAAATTATGTTATGTTAAATAATTATCAGTTGAGCAAGAATAATTAAAAATTCAACATATTCCAACGATTCTTTAACCGTTTAAGCGAGATACGTTCATAAATAACCAGACTCCTAAGTAATTATCAAATCTATAAATAATTAATTTGCGATCATTATTACTATATTATTTATACACTATCTACTGTCGTTTTTATTTGTATGATGTATGTCGTTCATTATCCACTAATAAGTACTAATTTATTATAAATTATCATGGTCAAATGGTATTATAAATTATTTTAATTAATCTCAACAAAACGGAAAATAAGATAACATTGCCTATATAGTTACATAAAAAAATTAGACTGTGTATTTAATTTTATTTAAATAGTATCTACAAGAGCTCTGTAATAGCTAAATAATTTATTTAATTTTTTCTCTATTCTTAAATCACGAATTATTTAATCCACATCCTCAAAATCAGAAATAATCCGTTATCGTTTAATTATCATTTCAATAATTTGATATAATTTAGAGCGATTACCTCGTACGTAACGACGTTAAACCGCTAAATGAAGATGTAAAGCAACAGAAAACAATTTGTAGCCATTTGTTAGCGATCGTTCCGTATTCAGGGCTGTTTTGCATACGAAAAATGCAGTCGGTTCGGTTCGGAGCTACAGAGACCATTAAAACAACCAAACCAGAGGCGCCCCAACCAATTTATACAACCCATTTTTTATTGTAATTATTTCTTAATTGGTTCTTTTAATTACATCATTGATGGCTCTTTTGGATGTATTGATTTAGTAAAATGTATCCTAGTTATATCCAGTAGATTGTGACAGGTTAAACGACTATAATCCAGGAAGCGCCATTGACTGACTAATATTTTTTTTATTTGTTCGATTATAGTCGAATGTTCTCGGTTGTTACGCCATTGAATTCAAACGCAACAGAACGAAAACTGGCCGTAATTATCGGCTGCAAGGCGAATTATTTATCCCTTATCTACATAACTAATTGCACACAAATAAACTTTGTAATTAAGGCTTTGTTGCGAATTTGTTGCGAAAATCTCCGGCTTTATTGTATAAAAGGTGTAACTGTAAACAGGTCGTACGAGTTTCGTTAGTTAATCGATAATTATCCGATTGATTATTGATTAATTTTCGAATTTATTTACAAGCTGTACAAAATTTTCCCAAAACATAATCGCGCATCATATAAAAAATAAAGTTCCAAACAGAACATTAAATACAATAATCTTCCACATCTATATCTGGATATATCTAATTTTCACGAGGGACAAAGCCCGTCATATCATGGCTATACCCCCGTCATTCAAACGTCTCTTCCACATCGGACGCGATAATAAAGCGGCTTTTTTTTTAGAACATTTTATTTTAGTCCTTTTTTAGAAATAAACTTGATCCCATTCGCACCCTATAGAGCGACGCGACGCACCCTAACAAGATCTCGATTGACTCTTGAATTGTTTAATTTAATAATGGCCTTCGACAATGGGCCCTAATCTAGTTTCACGCCCCTTAAAAAGGGACCCGTTGTTACGCAATCACCAGACCGTAAATTTAACGCATACTCTATATAAAAAAGAGGCCATAATGCTTTTAATTCTTTTTTATACATATATAGACGCGACCCGGGAATATAAAATGGAGCAGATATTACTTTATATAAATTAATACGCTATTCATGTAGAGATTTATTTAATTATAATTTTTAGGTATTATCTGATAGTTACACAATTAGGTGGTATTTGTGGATGTATGTCGAAGGAAACAGCATCGCTTAAATTAAAAAAAAATCTCTACCTACCTACAAGTTAATTTCAGGTATTATATTACACAACTTGAGCTCGATATAAAGCGTATAGAATTTTTATAATTCTCGCCTCAGAAAAAAAAAGGAAAATGGCCTCATGGCGTGAGCCGGAGTTCGGGTCAAGTGGCAGGCCCATGATGAATGGACATCCAAATATTTATTATAAGATTGTTGCGTTCGAACTTTTCTTTCTTTATCTGCCCACTAATCGACGGTAATTTGTTTTCGTTCACGGCTCAATTTCGGGGCGTTTGTCAGCTTTTGTGCTTTTTTTCTAACTCTCACTAATTTATATATTTTAATTTTTAAATTCTCGGAACACGACGAAGAGGAACGCGCCTCGTCGAACTGAATTAATAGCTCGAATCGAGCCGGAAATTGCGCAAATTAGTTCATAGAACAACGAATGATTACTATCAGAAATTTTATTCCAATGAAATTTGTAAAATAAAGGGTTTAGAAAGTCCTCCGATGTCCTAAAAAGAGTCTTTAAAACAATTACCTTCCTATACAGCATCCACTTAAATTGCCAATAGATAAATTATTCTAAAAGCTTTATAACAAATTGCTTCAATCAAGAGAACTTTTCGAACGAATGTTCGATATGGAGTATCTAATATACCTATAATTTTTAAGAAGGTACCAGCTCAATTTGTTGCTAATACTGTAATAATAAGGCACGCCAGTACTCCTGCAGCAGTCATATATAAGTACCTATGGCTTTTCCAAGTAATGAATGCTTCGTGCATTGCATCACACAGGACAGTATTTATTATTTATATAGCCTATAAGCGCCCAAATATCTATTTATAAATTTGTTAAACTTAGTTGCAAAAAAGTAGGCAGTATTTAAACGGTTTCTACCCCTATTAGCGCGTTTTACAAGCGTATATAAAAGTTGGAGTAATCTAAAATTATGTGGGTAGAAAAGCTCGCGTTTGTGATGTAACAAAATTAAATCTACGAATTAATCTAAAAATGAAAAGAACGCGATTTCTCGGTATAAAATCGGCAGGTGCATCGGTAATTCGAGACCGTCTAAAAGCCGCCCCTGTGTCGACCTTATGTCGGTACCAGACTAGGTACACACATCGCTCTATCACCTCCACTATATACGATAGCAATCGAACGAGCTCTAACTCTAATGGCGAGATATCACGCGATATCCGCCCTAATTGACTCGTGAAATCGCCAACACCGCAAACACCCATCCGTTTACACCCCGCTAAAAAATCGTTTTTTTTTTTTTTCGCTTATTGTTACCTCTTCGTTACTTAATTCGCGCTTTATTCGTCCTTGTGTATCGAGTCCTGGATGTGTAATTACCGCCTATGATGCTTGTGTGGTTTGTTATAAGGGCGTAAATGGTGGTAGTTTATTAGCAACCTGTGTGCATTTTAATTCGCTTTTAGAAAAAGCAAATTTTATTAACCGGGGAACTTTGGCGGGTGCTGAGCAAAAGCGTTGTTTTTTACATAATATAGGAAATAATTATTGGACGTTTATATCGCTTATACGATTGGGGTGCTACAATCGCCAGATGAGTCTAATTAAATTACATAATTGCTTCAACTATAACAGAAGTTTAATTGTCCGTTACACAAAGCAACGGTCGGATTGTTAATTCGTAATTAATTGTTGTGTATAAGGCACCAAAATTTTGGTATATTGCAAAGTTTTCCACCTAAACCTTGCAATAACCATCATCTTACATTTTCGTTTGACTCTAATTGTTTTTAATAATAATTTAAATAATTCTAGTAGATAATAATATGCGTTGTTAGACAACACGTTCCGTGTGGAATTAACGAACGTTGTTATTATTACAAAACATTTTATAAACTACATTTTATTCCGTAAACGCACAAACCCGGTATATAATTAATATAGGTAATTGTTCAGAAGGTGACGGGCGAAGGTTAACTTTGATGTATAAATATCGTTTCGAATTACACCAGGCCTCATCTCAACTCGACCATACATGATGTAGTATATTGGAAATCATGTTTTTTTGTTCGTTAATTAACTACTAACGTTTATTCGATTAAGGTAATGCTTAATTACAATCGAAATGTGATTATACTTCCTATATATTTATACACTAGATAATTAACTTGCCTTCGATTCTTTCTAAATATAAAAGGGTTGGATTTCTTAATCGTGATTTAATACCGCGTCGAATTACGAATTATGAACGATTTTTTCCGCCAAAATAGAAAGAACAGCGACTGTAATTACGGCTAATTATTTCTCCGACATTAAGAAGAGGTGTTTTTAAAATGTACTTAGCTCGCTTAATTGTTATATAAATGCGTAGTAGGTTATTATTCTGCTACGTAAAGCAGATGCTGGTATATATAACAAACAAAAAATTATATGGGTTTTTATAAGAATTAATAGCTTTCGAGATGTTACTGACGTTTAGGTAATTACCGAACGCAGAACGCCTGTGTATGATTTAAACGTTAAGATTACCTGTCGCGGTATTAACAGTTTATAAATACGATTAATTGCTAATTAATCAAGATCGTACGTCTAAATGTTGCCATTTAATACTTATGTGAAGATTTTTTTTTGATTCAGACTTACTACAACTTCTTCAATATTACATTTCATATGTGTATACAAAAAAAAACATTATAGGTTAACGTACGTACGTTAATTGTATACGTTAACTGTCGTTGTATTTATTATGCTGCTATTTTTATTATTATTTTTCGATTGAAATCTCCATTCAATCATGATTACCCGGTATTTTTGCGTTTTAATACAATAATATTCAATTATTCATGCCTATGGTGGAGCATTGTATAAAACAATAAATATTGTATAGTGAATCACAATGTTTGCGCTCGAAAAATTCGCCATACCGAGAAAGGTCATAATCTTTTTAAATGTTTTCCGTGAGCCGAATTTCGATAATAAATTAAATTACCTGCATTATATTGTTTCGAATAATATTGCATTTACTGTTATTCCTTAAATCGTCCATTAGCAATAATAAGTATTCACGGCGGTCAGCGCGCGTATTTACCGAGAAAATAACTCATAAGAATATACAGAGCGTTAGTTTTGTACGTGCACATTTTCGAAATAGTTTACCATCGACATCAATTTATTTAAATGGAGAATTATACATGAAAGTCTATCAGAAAATCAGTGATTTTTTGGATCAACTGTCCTGAATTCGATTCTGGTTAATAACAACTTCTGATACACCAATTTCCTGTTGGTCTTATTAAACACCGTGGAGAAAAAGGTGTGTAATTAAAAATGGAGGAGCAAAAATATTGAAACCAATTTTTCGTCGTGCCTTCGGGGTAAATATTCCGTTTCTTCGAGAAAGAAAAAACGCCTTCGAAGAATCGATATATCGAACATTCTACAGATAACAGCGACCTTGATCGAAAAAAAGATTGCTGAATTTTTTGTTATTTTTTCGAGTTACCAACGAGGAAATTATTTAAAGAGCTTCTAGAGAACAACTAGAAATATCTAAAAATTTACTACACAATTTATCTACTAATTCCAACCACCTTATAAATCTCTTTATGCACAGTTCTCTAACATTCTTAAATCATTCCTTATCATTCCGCAATAATCTAATTACCCTTAGAAGAATATAAAAAAAAAACGAAATAACGTAACTAATTGATTAATAGCATTTTTATTCCTGCGACGAAGAGGACAGGCGAAGAAATTACGAGGGTTTATCGCGTTCCCAACGGGCAATTATAAAGCAATGCTTGCATGCAATACGATCATCTAAAGGTATACATTTTATTTAAATAGCGCCGATGTGGAACGAGCGCTTTTTTTATTATAGAAAAGACGAACAGAAAAATAGGCTCAAATTATGATAATTCCCCGAGTTATATTAATAGTCGGTGATTACCGAGTATTTTGGTAAGATAGCGATCATCTGTGAGTGTATACCTTGAACGCTTGTAATTATTTACACATTAGCGATGCCGCTAATTATCATCTAACCACTCACCATATACTATTATTATGTTTTAGGTAGTGAAATTAATACTTTAATAACGTAATAGTCGTTCGAAAAGAAAAAGGGTACTAATTGATGGATTTAACGTTTCCTATTTTCGATTTTAACCCGCTCTCTTTCACCCAATCTTATAATTATGCAGTCGTTTATCTTACACCCAATTCAACTTAATTAGTGCTAATTAAGTAGTCATTAATTAAAGTTTAAGTTCTGGGAAGTTCTGGGAAGAGTTTTAACTCTATAGTGATAAGATTTATACCATTATAAAGTATATATAAATTGGTCGTACGAATTTTCTTTATTCGATTCGCTCTAGCTTCAATTACGCAGGTATAATAAAAATTTCGTTCTTTACATTCTCTTTTAATTCGTATCTTCGCGGGTATTTTTTTTTTCGAAGCAAATGATAACAGGTAAGTATACCTGCTCGGATCGACAGATGGTCGAAACAATAATTACACCACATCTAAAGTGAAATAACAAACGTATAATTCGCGGTGCACTTTAAACTAAATTGCACGTTGCAATTTTATGCAAATTGCCGAGAATTGACGCCAAGAGTGTTAAAAATTTCGAATAATTAATTGCGAATTAGCCGCTCGTCTGATACGAGTAACCGTTAAGCGTTAATTTGACCGTATTATTTCATTGCAATGAAATGTTTCACAAGTTTTTTTTATATAACATCAGACATTTTGTGTATAGATATCCCGGTTGAATCGGGCGTTCGATAGCCGGTCGGGTAAAGCGAGAAATAATGCAAATAAAGGGCAATTACAAACAGAAAAAAAAAAGAAATACATAAAGTCGATAAATAGAATAGAAATGCGTCGTTTGTATTCGTCGAGCGTGCGAACAATCGCGGGGATTTTATCATGCGAAAACGAAGCGTATTTTTCTATTAAAGGTTATTACCTTAGCGGAATTCTAATAGAAGATAAATTCGATCTTTCCAATTCGCTGATAGCGCGAACGCCAGAAGAATTGCAAATTAGATTGTGCAAACTGGACGCGGCATATACAGGATGTTCGATTGCGCTTTTCGCCATACTTTTGACACTTTTAAACCTCATTTACTCTGAATTTATTGATTGTAATATTATCTATGCAACGAAGGTTTATGCAGAATAACTTATTTTCAACACTTGTATCTATACAATGCTCTTTTTACTTAGTGAATTTATACATATATTGACTTAGTTTTAATCATTTTTATCAGCTCTTAATGACTCTATTTATTACATACAATTTAAGTGCTTTTTTACAAATTAACATACTCGGAGTTTACACAAAATTATTTATCCAAATTACACCTAATTACTGTCTAATTACAACCTAATTCCGCAATGGATTCTAATGACCATTCAACACATTATTTTTATACATATAACATTGAAGTAAAGTATAGTTAGGTAGTACATAAATCAACAACTTTGGTTTAATGAAATCTTTATTACATATTTAAAGAGTAAAAGAAGAGCATCGCCCATTGTCGACTAAATTAGCTACTATTGTTTTCGAGATTGTATCTTTTGTATACTGTGGGACTCACTGAATAGGCATTTAATCTCCTATTATTTAATGAAAAGTTTTTCTTGTATATGAAAATATACATCAATAAATAATGTTATTAATCAACTAAACCGGTAATTAAATAATACATAGTTTTAAATTATAGTAAAAAAAGTTTGTTTTATTAACAATCATGTGTATATATAGAGTGTAATTATTTGTTTAAATTTCTATAAAACTAGTTGAGATGATTAGGTATAATTAATTAATTAATGACTATTTACATCAGTGTAATTCATTCTTGTTTAACTCTTAATCACAAATAAGTTGAATTGGTAGTTATAGAGTAGATAAATAATATAGGAAACTAATAAATATATAGTGTAGAGTTTTTGAAAATAGCATGTTATTTTTATCCCATAACGAATCGTATAAATTTCTAATCATACATAAACTATACATATGTATTACTTAATTCTGTTTGTGTAAATATCGCTTTATAAAATCAAGTGAATTTTTATAACTAAACTGTTCCACAAAAGTTAAGGAAGTTCGCAAATTTTGCGATTATTTTAAAAGTTACAGACTTTTTAATCACCAAATTTGCAAATATGCAAAATTAAATGTTTTCTCTCATATCTAAGTGGATTTTTTGTCCCTACCTCTACAATTCATACTAGATTTGGTGATTAAAAAACCTGCAACTTTTAAATTAATCTCCATATTTGTCAACTTCCTTAACTTTTGTGGAGCAGTATATTTAAGCACGAGCCTATATTTACTAAAACCTATATGTATGTTTTTTCTCTTTAATTTTTAGTAGAAATTAATAAAGCTACTAACATTTTGAATATAACATCATTTTAGCAGGAAATTTTAGAACGATTTTGCCGGTTTCTCCGCAAGAAAATAAACCTACTATACAATCAGTATTCAGTACTGCAAAAATATCTCGACATGCACCGACTCGACTACCTCAAAAATACATCAAAAAATAAATCAACTCACCTCCAGGAAACCTATGTGGAAATATCCTCCCGTGCCTGGACATCAACCAAGGATACAAAGTATAGCTATCCCTAGGCTGCGCCTGCTGCCCCATCGACGCCGGATGCCCGGCGAAGACGCCGTGATGCCCGCCCGACAAAGCCGCCGCGATCGCCGCCCCCGAAAATTGGGCGGCCAGCGCGAACGGATGCTGATGCCCCCCACCGTGGCCGCCGGGCATCATCTCCTGCTGCATGAACGCGTTCTTCGCCTGGTGCACCATGCTCTCGTAGGTCGGACTCGGCCGGACCAGCGTGTGCGCCGGTATGCCCGGCACCATGATGGGCGGCTTCGGCGACGACGCGGGCGCCGGCGGCGACGGGCCCGGCGCCGCGCCCGGCTCGCTGCCCGGCGACAGCGGTCCCGAACCGTCCGAGTAGCGCGACGGCGATCGCTGCGGACTCGTCTGGCGGGCGCCGCCGACGATCGAATCGATCGAGAAGCCTATCTTAGGCTTCGAAGGCACCGCCACTATTGGTGTTGGTGCCAGAGGCATCATCGTTGGATTCGACGCGACGATTAAACCATTTAAATACGCCTGCATTCGAACGATCTGATCATCTCCATCAGCACTACTTCCATCATATTAGGTCCATCTATAATAGGCGCGGTGGGTTACACTAACATTTAAATCACTGCTTAGAAATCACTAATCTAATCACTCTAAAAAAAAAACCAACGATTTAAATAAAAAAGTTACTTATTACTCTTTTTATTTTTGAGTTAATCGGACTCGACACCGAAACGATGCTACCGCTAACGAATCTCGTACGTTAATAACCGTCGAAGCCTAGTCGAGTAGTCGGGTTTAGGCGATGGGCGTGTTGTAGGCGGGTCTTCGGGTCCCGCCCTCGGGCAGGCATTGGTGAGGGGGCGTGGTTGGGTTAATGGAGGCGGCACGCCCAGCATTTGGGCCGGGGAAAAACCCGTTTAGCCGGCGATAAATGCGGCGATATTACGTTTATGGCATAGTTAGCGTTAAAACAAACAGGTTACGGGGCTATTTTTTCGCGTCGTACGGCTCGATGTTTGTTTTTCGAGGATCGTGGAGGAGGGCGGGGCCGATGGTGCGCGCGCAGGCGGCGCGGGCGGAGCCCCCGGGGGTCGTTTAGTCGCGGTAATTGAGGTGTCAGTTGACGGGGATTTTTTTTTTTGTTTGGTTTAGTTGGTACTCGATCCGGACGTTTTGTGTAATTACGATTCGGGGTTGTTTTTTGGCGTCGAGGAAATTGATTGGTTTGGGTTTAACGGCAGGTTTCCGGACGATTGGATGATCGATTTAATGATTTTTTGGATCGGTGATTTATTGATAATTCGATAAATTATTGAACATCTTAAAATGTTCGCTTCTTCAGCTAGCTGTAACTTGCAATATATAAACGATACAAAATTGTTCATTTTCCATCCTTCCTATATTATAGAGAGAAAATCTCATTAAGCCTAAAACGCCATTTAACCATCATATCTCGAGAAACGTTCCGCGCCTTTTCGAATGCTTCCTTCATTCCTCCGTCACGTCCATCCGTTATAGTTATATTACATCTTCAATTTTGAAGTGCTCTCTGACGAGCCGATTATGTGTAATTAAGAAATAACTAACCCATTTCTGATGTCGACTCTGCGCCTGCTCGCTTTGCCGCTTTTACTATAATATTTCTTTCGCCAAAGGCGTGGACTAGAAAAGGCCAATTATATGTATAAGGGGAATATTATATAGAGGAAATAATTCATCAATTTACTTGCTTATATTTGCACCAGGTTGTTTGATTATTTGTGTGCAATATTTTATAGAGGAAAATTGTGTGCATTTTAGAAGAGAATTCCGATATATCTTTTTTTCTACGTTTATGGTGTACATTTCACGATGCGTTGGAATACTCGAAACGTTCATGCTGGAAGATTCCGGATTGTAGTTGAGTTGTTAAAAAATCGTAAATCCATCTAATGCCGTTTAAACGGCCGGAAAACGAAAAAAAAAATCTACTCAACAATGATTCTCGTAATGACTTTTCGCTCGGAGGTATACACAGTTTGTTAGACACCTGAATTATCTTTAATTGGATTCGAATAAAAGGTCTCAATTTTCGAAATACTAGCTCAAACGTAGATATTTTATTGAATCGTTTCATTCGATAATTAGACTACATAATAATGTAATGAATACAACAATTAAAACCATTAATTATCCCCACAAATGTGGTATAATTAACACACTAGAGATCAATCCATTGATAACCTAAAAATGCATCAGCATGATAAGTATTTGTTTATTTGTATACCGGCATTTACTACCCCATTAAACAACCCTAAAAACAACGTCTCAATTTCCTCGCTCCGATCCGAGATATTCCTCAGTTCCCAGGGTATAAAAAGAAGGCCCAAACAGTCGACGACGATCGACCGAAAGAATAATAATGATATTTTTTCGACGGCCCCCCGCCTTCGTAAAAGTCACATTAACACGAAAATCACCCCTTAAATTCCGAACGAGCGACGGGAGACGACGGCAACAACCGCCTGTATATAACGTTATAGTACAAAAAAAATAAATAAAACACGAAAGGAAAAAAATAGGCTATATCGCTAGGCGATTTCTCGGAACGTCCGCCTACCCGAAACCTAATCTCGGTTAATCATCGAAAATTTGTTCGAGTTTACCTCAAAGAACGGACGCCCGTAAATTACCCTGGACTATTGTGTGATGATTTCTGTGAATCATTATTCCGGCCTTCCTCTTTTCTTCCAGGTGACAAATGTATTAGAATGATTTAATTCGTGTCAAAACTGGCGAGAGATGAGATATTACCTAGTAGAGTATCTTCACTTTTCCTTATAGTAGTATAATTGGTCCTGTTTCTTTCCACTTTTTTGCTTCTTAAAGCTTCTTAATTTAAAAACAATCCTACACTAAACAAATCCATTTATCATCGGTAGTTAAAGGGTGATTAATGCGTTAAAACAAATCGCTTAGAGAGCCTCAAAACCAACACGACTTCAGAGTTTATATATACGAACAATTACCTACTATAGGTATTGAAAAAAAAATCCATCCTATTAGACCTATTTATAAATCATCCCGTTTCGTTTGTCGATAATTTACGTTTATAACAGCCGAAAAAAGCGGTTATTAAAATACAAATTGCTTCTAAGAGGATCGGACGCGGTCCGAAATTGCCTCAAAATTTATGTTAAATGGATTATTTAGAAAGCGGATAAACATTGGCTATTATATTAATAAGGACGAGGGCGCAGAGAAGGGACCTCTTCGAGGCTATTACTTATAATAAGAACCCTTTTAATAACGTCAGAGAACAACTGACGTGCCGGGCTCGATTTTAATGGGCCCGAATTTGGAGATTTTGTTTTTGTTTTCCCCTTTTCGAAAACCTTCAATTAAGCCCGGAATTTCTCAGCAATTCTCGAAGATGTTTAATTAAATTACAGCGATAATTTGCCCTATACAAAATGCAATTTAATTTTTCATGTATTTGTTTTAAAAGAACATATAAAGTGTCACTAAAAAACGAAAAGATGTAGATATATACACCGTAGGTAAAATAAAGTGGACAAAGAGACTGTTTATCATCGGTGATGCCTTAGCATGACACTGATTTAATCCACCTTTCCCTGTTCCATTACAAATCTTATTAATATTAATCTCGAATAAAGATCTCACGTAGAAGGGTCGACAAAACGAAAACGCCCGAACAGGTAAATTAACCTGTTTATATGACAAAAAAGTTAGAAATATGACCGGCTGTAAATATGGACGACACCGGCATAAATCTGGAAATTACTACTACTGTTTCCAAGTGGAATAAATAAGGAGCCTTCGGGACTACCGATATAAATTAAAATGAACCTTCTAATGAACCACAATGTATAAATTGTATATATAAAGGGGCAATTTAAAATAATGAAGTGGGAATTTTATATACGAATAAATGCCTCAATAAACATTAAAAAGTCACAAGTAATGTTTAAAGCCAATTATAACTAAATTGAAGAGTATTCAAAAAATAATTCCTCGCATAAAAAAATCTCCTTATAGCTCTCCAACAAGGTATACAAAATTTGTGTACATTCTGCATGCACGTTTCGAAAAAATCGCAAAAATTCCAAACATTCGAACGAAACTCCATCAACAAAAGCAAAGGACTTTTATTGCACCTCTAATCTCCCGCAGACGATCGTCCTTTTTATTTTGCGGTTTTCGAAAATAATGCCATTTAAGTAATACCGCTAATTCCGTCTTTCACGTTATTATCCCTTTTCAACAGATGTAATTCATTTAACTTTTAAACAGACTGTGCAGAGGTCTTCCCCGAAGTCATCGGCGCTTCCAAAAGGCTTATCGAAAGAAGGATTTACGCCCGTAACGCCCTCTTTACCTGCTCTGCGGAAGGAAATTGTTATCCTGCTTAAGGATTTCGGATTGGACGAGGTTTTTTTTTTTCTCCACAAAGACGCCGGTCGGGAGGTGTTTCGTGAGGATTAAGTTGTAAATAAATCCTAATGAGTTGTTTGACTAATCTTTGTGTTAGTTTTTCTGAAGATGTAGTTATCGTAATAAGGGGGTTGTGTCGAGATATTGGTAGTTTTTGGATTTTCTTTATGGTAGATTTTTGAGGATAGGAATTAAATTAGTTTCTCTATAATACTGAGTGGTTGAGGAAGAGATGAAATTATCTAATTTATTCAATAGATTGTTGGGTAAAGTAAAAAAAATGGGTGAAATAAAAGAGGGAATAAAAATTGTATGTACGACGAAATTAGAATATTTTTAATGAAGCGGTAATAAAATTAATGCGATTTTCCAATTTGCACGGTCGATCTTAAATAAGCCGAAATTTAAATGGGAAACGGCACAATGGTAGATAATAAAAAAAAGAATATGTAACAATAAAAAGGAATAAATTAGTTCGGCGAGCGTTTTTATCGTTTCAAATAAACTTTAATGCAATTTTTCGATTTGCACGCCTCTTAGTAATTGATCGAAACGATTAAAAACAATGCGACATTAATGGGATTATTTCGCTAACACAATGGTCGCATAATAAATAATAAGTTAATTAAAATCGAAGGTCTTAATTTCGTTGTTCGGATCGCGATATACGCGATGCATAAATTAGTACAAAAATTGATTTCAATATACATCGAAATGATTGCAAATTTTATATTTTTTAAAGAATATTTAAACAATATAATAAAACGCTACGAATAATACAAGCGACGATTAAATTTATATTTTCTCCATAAAATTTTATTACTTAATTATTTCGGTCGAAAACTTATCTCTCTTATGAACCTCGTAAAAATCTATATACCTACAAGTTTTGATTTATTACGTTTTATTTATTAGCTACCTATTTATCTTATTATTTAAATTATTTAATTAGTCATAACTTCAGCAAAATTTACTCCTTATTTATAAACTTTTTCACACTCATCGGGTGCATATATTCAATAAAATCTCCACAATGAAACTGCACCTCGTAAATTCCATCCCAATATCATACAACATATAGTCCGTTGTTTATTCCATTACGGAACGAAAGGGCGTAATTATGTTTTCAAAATATCAGAAAACCAGTTTCCCGATTTATTATCGGATATATAAAAGAGACTGTGAGCCTGCCCACTCGCCATTCCGGCCAACATCACAGTCTGATCGTACCCTCGTATTAAGGTACATTAGCTAGGTAGTTTTCTCGACTTTACCTAATTTATGTAATTATAATGTGGTCCCAGCGGCGGGTCCTTCAATCGGGAAAATTCCTTTATACTCGAGAATTATAGAGAGACATTTCTAATAGTTACATTGTGGGCTTCTTTAGGACCTCATTTAAACTGCTAAAGGTTTATTTCCTTATCCAGAATACCTTATTAAAAATTCAATATTTTTCTGATGGTATATTTTCAACGAATCTGTTAAATAGACTTCTTTTGAGGTATATTTAAACCCCAATGTTACGCGAATGATCATCATCTGTTCATCCATATCGGCGTCCATACCTCATTAATAAATTCTACACTGCCCCAATGAAGAAAATTCAGATTCCGACGTGAGATTGTGGCCTCTTAAGATTACATCCTCTCGCTTCTCGTCTTGTCTGGCGTGCAATTTTTTAACGATCGCGCAAAATTGGGTGCTTTTAAAATATGACCGTCATTAACGTGATTCTTGCCTTCTTTGCGATCGACAAAAAGTCGATGGAAAAACGAGAAAATAAATAAATAATAATGAAATGTGCAACAAAAAAACCGTCGAGTTTCTCGACCATAAACCAGCTTTGTTCGCGGTGAATCCCGTCTGTGGTGTAATGACGGTGTTATTACTTCGTGAAATTGAATAATATTACGCAAATTGAACGTTAAATTGTTTGTTCTCCAGTTTTTCTGCATACTATGTAAGTATATGCTGACGAAGATATAACTTTGGAAAAAATAGATTCCTATCCAGTAATAAGAAAATTGTCATAATGTTTAGAATACCTGTACCTCTATCTCATCACAACTCGATTATCTATTTATCCTCATCTTGAGGAAAAGAGTAATAAATACCGAATATTAAAGAGTAAATTAAACTTTAAAATAAGCGTTGGTGCTAAAATGATAAAATTGGTTACATAGTAGATATAGTTAATAATTTAAAGTAATAACTTCTTGCCACGGGTTTGAAGTTTTCAATTGGTATAATCAAAGTATTTTTTCGCGCAAGTAAGTAGATCGACCGTATTTAATATAACCAGTGGTATTATCGTAACTATTAACCGTTTGCGATATTTTTATTCGCCTCGTTAAAAGAGTTCCACCAGATCTTTTTCTTTTTATATATACTTTGCTGAAATTCGAGGAGTGGCAAAGGCGTGTACGTAAATATCAAATTATAGCCATTACCGTTTTCGTTACATTATAACTGCTAATATATTTTCCTATTAAATTACTCACATATAAAATTATCCGCGCAAACGAAAAACGGCCAATTTTCGTTATTTTCGTTACGCAGCATTGAGAACAGGACGAATTCCCTATAATTTTTCTTTCGTTATATTACCCCAAGGTTGCATTTAACCAATCTTATATATACATTCTATAAATGCATTGTCATATTCTTCATTATTACCTGCTTTATTACTGTACATTTTGCTATACTAATTTACCATTTAAAATCATTGACTGATGTAAATTCCAAAATTTTATATTTTTTTATGGATTGAACGGCCATTTTTTTCTTCATACCGGAGCCGTCCACGTCAGCATATTCAAACATCACGAATCGAACCTTAAACTCTAATGATAGGAATTAACCGGCCCCGGTCGATCCGCCGCTAATACGTAGTTTAGTTACAAATTCAGCCCGCAGGGAGATAATTTACCAAATTACCCACCATAACACTTCAAAATAAACAAGAAAACATACCAAACAACATGATCGTGTACTGTTTATTTAAATAAGCGTCGGGCATTCGAGATGTTCGCGTTTCCTTCTGACTGCTCCCAGTAAGACGGATAACGGATTTTCATCCCGTTGGAAAAAAATATATTCAGATCTCTTCATGGACACAAATCAAAAAGATAATGTACTCAAAGGTGTACCATAATTAGGCAACAATTTGTAGAGAATAAGCTGAGAACTTCACTATAGTTTCTCCATTAGTTTCTTCACTAGTTGCTTCATTAGTTTCTATACGAGTTTCTTCACTAGTCCCTCCATTAGTTTCTCTATTAGTTTTTCCATGAGTTTCTTCAATAGTTTCTTCATTAGTTTCTATATGAGTTTCTTTACTAGTTCCTTCAATAGTTTTTCTATTAGTTTCTCCATGAGTTTCTTCACTAGTTCTTCCAATAGTTTCTATATGAGTTTTTTCACTAGTTCCTCCATTAATTCCTCTATTAGTTTCTCTATGAGTTTCTCCAGAAACTTTTCCGTCCTCTCCTCTTTAGTCAGGAATCTCTTTCTTATTTTTTTAACAATTTTTAACCCCTCTTGGAATCCACATCTTCATTTTACTTATTCATTTGCCATATCTTCTTCACGCATTATCAATTTTCTTTGAGCTTCTATAACTTCCACCTTAACCTTCCAAATTTTCCAATAACTACATCAACAATACTATTCTCTTTAACTTTCACCTGTAATTACCTACACAAACTAAAATTTCACTTGCATAAAATTTAGAGAAAAGGAAAAAAATCGGTAAAATTGTCTCCGATAAAGCGAAACCCATTAAATTCGCTCGTGATCCGTCGATCACGGACCGTAAGTAGCGAGCTCGTTAGCGCCCTCTGCCGCTTTAACAGAACATTTACTATAACGAAGGGGCAAAACGTGGACAGAGGTCGCTCACCTACCAATTGAATCTTAATTTCCCTTATCCGAACCGTTCGAATTATGCAAAATTGCAATGGAGCCCGTTATCGGGATCTTGCACGTACTCGATCTATCATAAAATAAATCCGTAATCGATAACTATTGTAATTCCGTCGGGCGGAATACCCGTAATTCCATTCGTAAAGTGTTTTCCTAATCGTGCCCTTCCAGATCAAATCCAATCCTTGGGAACACACCGACTACAAATATATCTAATATAAATAATTTTAATTTCCTCAATACATTCTACTCTCCAGAAGTTCCATCAGCTGATCGTGACGATTGTCCAAGTAATCAATCGCTTGTCAAATTGGCGTACTCGTTGAAGTGAAGTCTTTTAAATATATATTTTTATATGAGTATTCGTGGACGGTACAAAGAAGATGGACAAAGCCAGCGTTGATACAACCACCACAGCAGCCAGCGAAAAGTCCGGATACCAACCGAAGGTCGAGCATTTCGAGAATTTCGACGATGAAGCCGTCGGGGGTTTCGAAGGCGAAGGAGAGGAAGGTGATAGGAGAGAGGATTTCGGGATATTGGAGTTTATGACCGATGCTGAATTGTTGGATTACGCCAATGAATTGGAAGTGACCATTCGATATATGGAGGTATATTTTCAGCGATGAGATACTGTAAGTTTAGTGGTTGTTATGGTGGTGTTGTAGGTGGAAAACGACGTGTTTTTATTCTTCGTAAACGAGCATTGTCCTCACGTGTTGGAAAATCTAGAGCAGATGATCAGCCAAGCCACTCAGCTCGCTTTGAAACAAGCGCCATTAGGCACATTGAAGGAAGTAGAACCACAATCAGGTGCTTGTTATTAACATTTTAAACACATCCAATTGACCCATTGAGCCCTTTTATAGACTCGAGCGAAGGCAGTCTACCCCAAAAAAGCGTCGTCCTGATGGAACAGATGCCAAAAATCGCCAATCTGATCACCGGCCGGGGGCCCAAAGTGAGCGTCACCACGAAAATCGAAATGGTAACCAAGAAAATCGAAAACGCCATCGCCCTTCACGACGAATTCACCAAAAAAGCCCTCAGGACCAAAAGGAACTTGAAGGCCGAGCTGGAGGAGTTCAACATACGCGAAAGCGATCTCAAATACGCCAAGAACCAGTTCGAATTCAACGTGATCGTGTCGGGCGTGGAGAAACTCACCGGGCGTATTCCGGCCGAAAAATGGTTGAGGTCAGAAATTCCACGATTCCAATTCATCTGCACCAATAAATTTCTTACGTAGGTACATGGACGAATGGATCAGACAAGCGATGTTGTCGATGGAGAAATTGAGGCTTCGAATCAGCTCGTTGAAGTCCCAATATAAGAAACTGTCGACGAATTACTATCAAAGGAAGGAACTCAGCGCCACAGTGCACGCTGTAGATTTCGATCAATTGGAGATAGCTAACAAACATTTACTGCTGAAAATCGACCAGAAACAGGTATTTTTATAGTCAATAATGGTCTTAGAAGGGTATATTTGAATTGAACTGGGTTTCCAGTTGTATCTAATCGAGCTGAAGAAAATGAACGGCGGGGCGAATTTGGTGTTGAGCAGGCACAAGAAGGTGTTGCTCAGCCAACAAATGGAGTTCAACAAATTGGTAAAGGACATCGAGAGCAACGAGCGATTGATCGAGTCCTTGGACGAGGAGTATTTCAAAATCGAGGCCGAGCGGGATTTCGCGCGGGAAAAGTTCGAGAATTTCAAGAAATTTAAAAGCGAACATAGGTCAGTCGATGGCGAATCTATTATTAGTAGTATAGTAGGAAATTATTCGTGCGATTTAGAGTTCCGGATATAGTGGATTACGTGGTATTGAAAAAAGAAATCGACGAAATAAACAAGAACATAAAGATATGGCAACGGAGGAAGAACATACAAGAAATCAGCCTGAACGCTTCCCTAAGGGAAATGAAGCACATAACCGGATCGAGGGTGATTGATCCATCTTGGATCGAGGATCCCATGACCGAAGAGGAACTATTCGAATTCATCATATGAAATTATCTAATCTAATCTAATCGTCTACATCTAATCGAATAAATTCTAATTGCACTTTACCGAATTTTTAATATAACAAAGTGATGCACGAAAAATCCGGATAGCTCGTGGACTAAGAGCTCAAAGTTGGCGATTAACGCTGATATTAAATTACATCACTAATGTTGGCAAATTGCAGCCTTCGCTTCCTTAATGAATAATCGTCAGCAGCGGGGTGAAACTTTGATGACTACGCCTTTGATAACTTGTAATTATTTACGTAATTACCGGTTGGGACTTTTACATTGTACGGTGTCAGTTTAATCGACTGAAATCTTTCGCACGACGCGAATGCAAGCGCATCTATTAAAAACTTTGTTTTGTATATTTCTATACCTACAATATATGTATGTATATAGAAAGTGATAAGGATATATATGGTAGTTATTTATGGATGTTGTGGATATTTATAGCATTGAAATTTGCTTATAATGGATAAAGTTCAGAGTATGTTTTTTTTTTAGTTTCTACACTTTTATTAATTACACTGTTTCAAGTCGAGTACAGCAATTATGTTTCCTTTTCAACTAATAACTATGTTAAGCATTGCTACGTAATGATAGTTTTTCGTGAGTATCGAGTTAATAAACCATTAAGTCGAAAAAAAAAACACCTAAAAACGTTCCTTAATTTGCTCTCTATTCTTCTGGTTGTTTTTTCGTGTCGTTCCTATTTGAGTAGTGGAGAAGATAATTGCCCGTAAATTGCTATAATTTTTATGAGTTCACAACATTATAATGGACATTTAATTCGTCTACGCCCGAAGAGTTAAAAGTTCTTTTACCTGACATTTAAGCGGTTTATTTTAGCGGAGGGCCGGTCCTGTTCGCGTGCTTTCTTTTAATGGATTCATTTATGTGGATAATTAGCTATTATAGGGTCATTATAGGGAAATTTATATAGTTTAACAATCCATTTTTACTTGACATACATTCCAAATAGCACCAACTTCTATGTATATATAATTTCACGAAGCCAAAATGAAAAATTCCGGGGCCTTTTATATCCAACGGGGCCCACCGTCGTACACAAATGATCGAGTTAACATCTGATAAGCGACTTGTATGACAACATTTCATAAAGAGGGTCTCTCCATACAATTGACGTGCGCTTCACTTTTAGTCAACTCGAGATTTTCGAACGATAAATCGCAGAACCGTAACCAGCTCAAATGTTGGAAAATTCATTAATCACCCCGTTAACTATCCAAGGAAATTTTTTATAAAGAAAATTGCCAGGAATGTGCCCTAAAATTGAGGCACTCATATTTCCTACTCTCTACTTCTAACCCTAATATCAATACAGGTGTATTACTTGAATATACCTGAATCCGGTCCTGTAAGTTTTGTCATTTTCTTCTATTGATAGGAACGAAACGGATGACTCGCGATGGTATCGGAAGCCTTTTGTTTCGACAATCAATTATTTCAAAAGAGTTTTGCTGCGGTATTTTAATTTAATTAGGGTCTGTGTGTGTGTGGAGATCGGAACCCGCCATTGGTGGGGGCCCCCCCCGGGCCGGACCATCGTCATCAGATTGCATCATTGGAATATCATCATTTTTCGAACGGTTGTCGCTTGTCATCTCGCTGATGATATTTCATAGTCACGTAATTTGGTTAATGATGCGACTTTGTACGCCGAGAATAATAATTATAATTGTGTGATTTTTTTATGATGTATCTTTTAGGTGTATTATTTGAGTGGTTGTCTTAAGAAAATGGAATAATATTGATGAATTGACATGTAGGATTAGTTTTATAAATTTTTTGTAGCTTATGAAAATTTTCCTAGTAAATTAATTTAGTTGTATTTTTTTGTATTTTATAGATAATTTAATGAATATTTCCTTACTCAAATACGAGTAGAATAAATTTCACATAAAGAATCAAACGCCATCTTTTGAAATAGTATTGTACTAGTAGACACAATAAAACAGTATTTTTTTTCATCTGTCAACAACAAAATCTGTCACAATACGCGTCAAACGTCAAAATATAACGTTCCGTGCATTAAAATCTCTGTGACAAATCCATCTGTGATTGTCAATTCAAACTATTCACTCTTATCTGACAGATTTTTAATTTTTCACTCCACATTTTCCAGTTGTGGGTTGTAGATAAGTAGGAAAGGGAATTCTCGTAAGTATAAACCGGTTTGTTTTGTTTGTAATAAATTTCCAATTTTACTTTTCACTCGAATCCTTCCATTTGTACTTCGTTTAGTTAATCAATTAAACTAGGACATATGGGATTTGTATGCGTTGAATAAACAAAAACGAGCATTTTATTATAATCGAAGATAAGAGATAACCATTATTCGTATGTACTTATCGTGCGATTGCGATTTCTGTTTGAACGGAATGTGGATTTAAAGTAGTGATAGAAATTCCAAATTCGATGCCAGTTGAAGTTAAAGCGGCTCCGTCGAAGTGTCGCCTGTGCTATCTCTGTGCTCTTCATCTTCGCGTTTCCAATAAATAAATAAATAAAACTACGAAATTTTTCATTTCGCTGCAATGACTTCGATCATTCGGAACGAATCGAGAAAATTGCTGGGCGTCGTTTTGTCGAAAAACGCGCCGACGTTAGTTAAAAATTTCAGCGTGTCGAGTGCTAGAAGAATGAGATTCGTGCAGTACCGGCTGAAGAAAGGGGGCCCCCAGCAACTCGGGGCGCAGATTTCCTCCAACGGGGACATATTCGACATCAGCGGCGTAGACCATTCGATTCCTAACAGTTTGGTGAAGTTTTTAGCGAACGGTAATGGCATTTACGAGAAGGCTAAAAGGTAATATTTTTTTTGGGTGATTACTGTCTACAAGTTATTTAATTAATTCTTTCGAGTTAAACTGGTTTGTTTATGATTGTATTTTACGTGTAAATATTTCGAAAACTTGTCTATTGAGACGTTCTGTAGAAGGGAGCTATACCTAATGGGACAACCTGTATAATAAAATTAATTAATAACGATTATACATGTTTCATTGTTGTTTATACAAGAATGGCTGAATCATTTAAAGTTTAAAGCACTCTGTATATATACATACAAATAAAAACTATTAAATTATAAATAAATTACTTGCTCTCTGTAGTAAAAAATGAAACTTTATTTTAAGCTTAATTGGTACACCCTGTATATGTGAAATAATTAAAAATTGCAGCATTCCTATAACCTATTAAGTAGTTCTAAGCAATTAAAATATCACATTATGGCATATCTATTCTAAAATATTTAAAAATATACGAATTGTCCCACATTAGTAAATTGCCAAGAAATATTATTAATTCATGGATTTTTTGTTTATTGGAGTATAGTGGATCGCGTGACCCACCCAATTTCGTTTTATTTCTTGTATCCACATCGGAATTACCATCAATCAAAAATAAAATTAAGCGACCTTGAGGAAATAAAAAAAAATTCTGTAATCAATTTATTCGGCAATTTGGGTATTTATTTTTATCTTCATTCAAATACTTTTTGTTTGTAATGGTTTCAAATTACCTGTTGCTATTTATTTGTCCATAAATTTTCGAAAACAGGCATTTTTACGTTATTTTTAGACACCCTGTAGACTCATCACACGCTTTATGAGTTTCATAATTTTAATAAAATAACTGGGTATTAATCAACTGTCCTAAATTATTTCAATTGAATTATCCACTTAGATTTCTGTTATTAATGTAATAAATGATCGTTTTCATTACAGTGTAATTACCTCAAAAAAAACTTGTGTGTAAATCCTTCGTGTTACATTTAAATTGGTATTTTTGTAATGTGTGATTATTATCTTGTAAATTATTGATATTTTTTTTAACACAAACGGTAAATCTTGAATTAATCAACAAGAAACTGTAGCAAGTTAAAAATAAAAACTACGATAATGTATAATAATCGAATATATTCGCAAAACAACATTGTTAATCCTTGCATCATTGTTATTACGAAAATATTATTACAATATTGTAACGTCAAAGAATTGGAATTATTTGTTAAATCTACAACAGGCATAGAAAATTCAATTTTGATAACATGATAACTGTAAGACTTTCAATGCTTATCGCTTAATTTTTTCCCAATTTTCCCTCCATTTCAGGATAGTAGCAGATGGTAAATCCATCACCCCTTTAGACGATGTAGACCTCCTACCGCCCATTACCAAACCAGATAAAGTAGTCTGCGTAGGTCTAAACTACTCGGGTCACTGCGAAGAGCAGAACATCCCCAGGCCCAAGGAGCCCATGTTCTTCAGCAAATTTTCCTCCGTAATCGTAGGCCCCAATGACGATGTGCAAATACCACCAATAACCAACGTAAGTTCCACTTTCCCCACGATCTTCTTTCATCTTTGCACCAGATTGATCCATCTTCACCTCGCTCAGTTTGCACTTCCAGAAAGTCCTATTTCCTCACGATTTTTCTCCATTCTTGCACTAGATTGATCCATCTTCACCTTGCTCAGTTTGCATTCCCAGAAGGTCCTGTTTCCTCACGAGTTCTCTCCATTCTTGCACCAGATTGATCCATATCGATCCATCTTCTGCAAGTTTTTCTTCTCTACACTCACTCTGCTCTCCTAGAAGATCCTTTAGATTCACCTTTACACCATAATCACCAGGACTCATTGTAACAAACTTGCAGAGCGTGGACTGGGAAGTGGAGCTGGCGGTGGTGATAGGCAGAAAAGGAAAGGCGATCAGCCAGCACGAGGTGAAAGATTACATATTCGGGTACACCGTGGCGCAGGACATAAGCGCTCGAGACTGGCAGAAATCCAGGAACAACGGGCAATTCCTGCTGGGCAAGTCCATGGACACGTTCTGTCCGTTGGGACCAGCCGTGGTGACCAAGAACAAAGTCGATCCGAACAATTTATCGATCAAATCGTGGGTGAACGGGGCTTTGAAGCAGAACGGCAACACCTCCGAATTGATTTTTAAAATCGACTTTCTCGTGTCGTATTTATCGCAGTAAGTTGATGTTTGTCGTTGCTTTGGTGTTTTGTGATGGTGATTGATTGATTCGCAGGATTGTTACTTTGTATCCTGGTGATGTAATTCTGACGGGTACTCCTGCTGGAGTCGGTATGCACAGAAGTCCACCGGAGTTTTTGAAGAAAGGGGATGTTTTGGAGAGCGAAATCGAAGGTATCGGACGATTGCGGAACGTTGTGGTTTAGTTGTGTATTTTATTAAGTATCATTATATTTTTAAATAAAGCTTGATATTCAAATTGTTATTAAAAGCGGTCGTATCATTAACATAATCGAATACAATGAATAATATTATCGATTAACTTCTGGTACCTTCAATTTAAGTGTCATTCCTTCTTTTACATTCTAGTAACTTTTTGAGCGTAAGTCAGGCTTCTCAAAACGCTCCTCCTAGTTTTCAAATAGAGTTGAAAGAAACGAGGAAACTTTTAAAATTTATTTAAGTATAACGATTATTAAGAGCAGTCAAGTGAAATATTTAACAAATAAGGAATTGGCATTTAAAACGTACTTATGTATTTGAAATAAATAATTTCTATGACGAATTTTACAGTTGACCATCGCGAGCAAAACTCAAAACATTTACTAGCCTTTTTCATTCAGTTTTTCTTCCATCCCATTTCACAGATACGAAAGGCCCCCGGAGGCGGCGTACGCCATAAGCGTATTCGCCGCCTGTCTCGTCTCCAAATATATCCTGGCCTCGTCCATCCATTGTCCAGCCACGCACCTCGGAGCCCCCTTCAATAGATTCATGTACTTCAACGTTTGCACGAAATCCCCTCGATCCAACCAATACCTACGAAAACCATCATCACCAACTACAATCACCACGAAATTTCCTCACCTAGCCCTTTGCAGGATTTCGTTGGTGTTAAATTTACTGACGTCGATCTTCTCGTCGTTCAATTCCGCCTGTGGAATGGGACTGGCCGCTTCGACGAGCAACAACGATTGCAGGAAAGAGAGTAGGTGAACGGGCAGAGGAGCCCCCTCGGCTGGAACGAGGGCGACCGTTCTCGCCACCTTTTCCACTTTGAAAAATCGCTCGCGCAACGCGTCCTCCGGGTAGACACCGCGATCGCGGGCTTCTGTCGGAATGCTATTTATCACCGCCTTTACCAGCTCGTCTTTCTCGGCTAAAACAACCATAATTATTTCTGTAAGTTTGTTGGTGTTTAGAGTATTTACCTGCAGATTTTTCTATGGCTTTGATTTCGGGACTCAACGGTCTAATTTGATCCTTCCACGTCAAACCAGGACAACCGATTGTTAGAGCTCCCAATAATGATTGACAAGCGCTCCACAATACTTGACCTCTTTTAGCAACCTCCTCGATTTTATGCTTCTCTAATAAACAAAATAATATCAATACACACATTTATTTTCTCAAAAATACAATGCAATTGTACTACCTTTATCAACATCATCGCCGCTTCCTTTTTCGAACGCACAAACGATTAAATTCAACAACAAACCAACTATAATAGCTATATATATTAAACTCACCTTGTAGAGCTTCATCGATGCCTTTAAGCCTACCAACGACGGCGGCCATTTGCAATTTAGACGCGGATTTCTCGTTCTCCAATTGTTCGTTGAACTTCCTGAACAACGTCCGTTCGATTTCCGTTTCGCGCTTCTTCACCTCGTCTTCGAGATGATCGAAGAACGTCTGCGATTGCCTCTTCATGGCCTCCCTGAATTTCACGTCGTGCTCCTTCTTCATTTTCAACACCTAGAAAAACGAGCTTCGCATCGACGCCTATAGATGGAGTTGGTTTCGATGACTTACGTGTCTCTGATAGGCCAGGCTGATCCTTCTTTTTTCGCGTTCCAAAGCCTCGCGAATTTGGGCGTCGCTGAGGGCTTCGTATTCGCCTCGTTGGGCCGTTTCGATCGCCTGTTGGATCTTCTCGTTGATGATGGTCTCCATTTTGGCCAGTTCCTTCTGGTAGAAGACCACGTTAGAGTACGCGTGGATTATGAATAAATCTATACAAAACGAAACGCGAATTGAATGAGACATATCGGCTAGATTATTACCCCGAATGTTCCTCACCCAAATCCTCTTTGCCGATGGACAAATCCCGCTTGACCAAATCGATGTTGGGAAAGAGACTTTCCAATTCCTGCGAGAAATGCCGCCTGGCCTTTTCCACTTTGTCCCAATACTTCTCGGAGACCTTACCGCGTTGCAGTTCCTGTTCGAGTTGATTTCGAGCCTCCTGCAGGGCCTCCTGCACCTTCACGATGTCGTCTCGTATCGCCTGTTTGCTCGACTCGGGAATGTCGACATTTTGACTAGAAATCAAACGATTTATCCACCATGTCATAATAACCGAATAGATTCAAATACCTCGATATGGAATACTTCAACTCGTTGAGCTTCTTCAGGGCGAGTTCTTCCATCTCCCTCGCTTTGTTTACGTTCTCGATCTTCGATCGCGTTTTGGTCTTGATGCGCTCCCAGGTGTCCGATTTGATGTCGTTGGGGGCCTCGTCGGCGAAGTGTTCGATGTCCGAATTGTACGTTCTGATAGCGAACGCTGCTTGGCTGTAAGCGTTGATGGCCTCTTCGGTGGATTCGAACACCTTCTGTTCGAGTTGTCGCAGTTTTTCCACGTTAGCTTTCTCCGAGGATTGCTCGATTTGGGACGCGTTCGGTTTATCTACTTTTTGCTTGGGCGTTACGTCTATAACTGAAGAAATAGGGGCTTTAGGGTTGGTTGTTTTGGGTCGAACGAAATGGTGTTGTAAGTACGAAAGAGTTAATACCGATATTAATAGGCGATTCTGAATGACGAAGATCCATTTTCTTTAAATCGTCTTCGTTCGAATCGTCTTCGTCTTCGTCCTGTCGTTGGATTATCTCATCCGGTTTAACGGGATAAGAGTCCGGTACAGCTGTTGTAAGTTAAACGTTAGTAACAAAACATTTTAAGCGCTGAAAACCAAACAATATTCAAACGTACCGCTGGTAGATTTCGGTACGGGAGCTGCCAAAATATCATCTTTTTCATCGCTTCCATCTTTATTCACTAAACCGGTTACTAAATCTTTAATACTATTGTACGAAGACACGACTATATTGCTATTCTGGCTGTTCTCCCGCCACAACAACGATATCAAGTCGTCGGTGAACGGAGCTACTCCCGTTAGAGTTTTCCTGGAATAGAATGGATGTTAACGGGGTGAAATTGGAAATGGTGCGACTAACCTAAAGTCGCTATCGTGTTTGGCATACGCCAAGGTGGCTCCTCCGGTTGCTACTAATGCCCCGATTGCTAGTAAGACTTTCCGGCCCCCGCCGCCTCCGGTGTGGGCTTCGGAGCTGTAGTTTCGACATGAAACTAAGGTTATGCCGTTGTTGTACTTCGAAGGCCTGTAGACTAAATGGGCTGGGACCGGTAGTTGTTTCTAAAACAAATTTGTGCTGTATAGTGTATAAGGTAAGAGGGCCATTTAAATACGGCATATTGTATAGGTTAGGAATCTGATGATAGTACTATTTAAACTGGAATAAAGTTAAAGTTATTAACAATTATTGGTAATAAATTGCAGTAAGAGATGCAAAGAGGAACATTTGTAGGTCAAATGTATTTTACAATTGCCGAAAAAAACGGTCGAATATAAAGATGACATAACAAGTAAATAATTTGGGATAATGTGATTATAATCCTAGGGTACTTACCCGAACGATTTTGTTTTGCACTCCTCTTAGAATCCTTAACATTTTTTAGGAAGAGCCACTTTGGGTTTGAATGAAAACGGGAATATTGAGACTTGGAGGAATATTTGTGAAAATATTCACGAGTGTTGGACAGTCATCTGTCTGTCAAATTTACTTGAATGCTAATTATTCCACGAAAAGACCTAATTAAATTACTCAGGGGTTATTTTAAACGATCGAAAATTAATTATTTTTAGTTTATAATATCCAAATTCTTTTAAAATCAAATACAATTTTGTTTTCCAAAATATTTCATTTTTGTTTTTAGGTTAAAAGTCAAAAAGTGTTTATGTTGGCAGCACTGATTTGGTGTTGGTAATCTTTTCTCTTTGTCACTCACAATTAAAAAAATCTAATGTAAGAAAAGGATAACTATTGTAGATACGAATATTTTATACAAAAAAACAGAATTTAAATTTCCTACTAAATTAAACCGAAGAATTAGGTTAGAGTAACAAATGCAGAAATTTATTTAATTTAAAAATGTTTAGAAACATTTTGTGTTCCTTTTCAAGACTAGCAATTGCAACGAGAACACCTCAATCTAATGTATTTAAAAATACGAGTGACAATTTAGTGAAACAAATTACAGTTCGAAATTTTTCACTGTTGAACATCCAAGCTCCCCTAGCAGCACCAAAATTACTGGAAAATGCACCTAAACCGCAGCCTGCAGCCACATCTACCAGGACTGTAACGAAATTTTCTATAAGAAAAGGCAAAAGGAAATCCGTAAAGGCGGTACTGAAGCGATTCTACAGATTGCAATGGGGCATATGGATTCGAACGAAAGCCGGTCGTAACAAGAAATTGTGGAAGAAAAACCCTCCGCAGAAGCGCAGGCTTAGACAGCACGTCTTCTGCAATTCCACACAAAGTCACATGTTGGATAAAATGGTGGGGCCCTACTGGAGGAAACCCAGATACTTCATCGATGATCCCTATCAACCTTACCACGTTAGAAACGAGTTTGAACGGTCTAGAGTGACTCCTAAGCCCTACATCCCTCCTGAAGATAGGATTTAGTATGGTGAATTAATTGTGAAAGTGTAATAATAAATAAATAGTTTGTTAGATAAGATTCTGTTTCAATTAAATAACCTGTCATTCTCAGCTGTCAATGTCAATTTTTGTTAGACGGGCTAATGAACCTCTTAAAAAGAGGACATATTAGGTCTATTTAAAAAAGAAGAAAATTCGTTAACCAAACAAAACAAACACTTTTCCATTTTTTAAAAATTGTTTCATTTTATTCGCAAATCAATTAATTTTTATGTTTATTTATCCGTATCCGTTACGACAGTGTCTGAGTGACAAGAAGAATTGTTTATTTGTCAAAATTTCAGTGCCAAGGTTTGTTTGAATTTCCCAGAAAATGAGGACTATGCTCTAATTTCGAAATGGAATCCGATTCTAAAGAAAGCAAAACCGATGAGGATTCATCGTCTAAATGCATCCTGGAATACTACCAGAAATACTCTCAAAACAAAAAATTACCCAAGTACTTCTCCGGCTCCTCCATCAGTTATTTGCCAGAAATTGTAGACGATGAGGATTCGAAGGCAAATAAAGAAGTAGAAATAATAATAGACGAGCATCAGGATGTAGTCGAAGCTTTAATCCAACCACAATTGTCTCCTACTGAATCTGCCGGGTCAAATAAAAAATTGGAATGGGACAATTTGGCCGATATCGGTTACGACAATGCCAAAAGTATCCATCGAAGCTTTTCCTTGCCAATTTTACCTCAACCGAGCCAAGCTATTAGTATTTCATCTTCCGAACTTTCCAAGAGTAAGCATAAAGATAACTTAAAAGTAATTATTTATCCTTATTCGAGCAATTCAGAAGAGAAAAGCACCGTTGAAACCTCTTCATCCGATGCCAAAATGGCGAAATCTACAAGTTCCACTGTTAGTTCTGTAAACACGAAGCAATATAGCGAATCCTCCAGTAGCGAAGAGAGGATTTTGAGCTTCAAACACACTCTGGATTTCTTAAAAGCCAAAATAGGCTTACCGGACGCTCATTCGACTCCAAACGAACCGGAATTCAAACCTGAGAAACTTCCCGACACACCGTTTGTCAAAAAAGAAGAGAAACCTTCGAAAACGCTACTAAAGAAATCGAAGAGCACTCAACTAACTCCTAATCAAGTTGATAAAGCAAATAAAGAAACCTCCACTGAAGAACAACTTTGCTCAACTAAAAAAATGATTAATTTGTGCCTTACCAAACCCGTACTAATAGATTGTGTATCGAGTACTAATCAATTAACGATTGGTGTACAAACTGAAACTCGTTCGATTTCCAAAAGTAAATCTTCCTCCGATGACAACGAGAAGACAAACACGAACCCAGATACATCGAAATCTTCCAGTTCCAATATTGTAGCTTCCAATTGCGATAGCTTCGAATATATTAAAACTAGCAATCCGGTAGAAAAGCTTATCGATCAAGTACCCGTCGAGGAACCAACGAAAAATATCGGTAGCAACATCGAAAGGAGCATTTACGTACTACAGAAATTGATTAACTCGAAAAAATACGATTCTACAGCCAAGAAGAAGTACATCAAGAAAATCCTGCAGAAGATCATCGAGAGCAGAGAATTGGAGGAATCGAGCGCCAGTTCTGAACTGTTTTATCCCAAAACGGATCCGACTAAACTCCTGATGGACCAAGCGAAGCATTTTTCATTCAAACACGAAGGATCTTCTTCTTCCTATCAATCCCACAACGGCCTAAAATCGTCTCCTACCAGGCGAAAAACCCAAAACAAAGATAAGAAAACTCTACCCGAACATCCCGATTCCAAATTGAATCTCGACGATTTATCGAACGAATTAACACGAAAACTCACCGAAGCAGCGAATAGAGATAAAAAGGAAATCAAAGGACCTTTCACTCTCGCTACAAAACCCGATCCATCATCATCATCATCCACACAAAAATCGCTGAAATTACAATCGATCAACCGCAGTCCACTAGCCGGAGACGGCGATCATTTGCTGATAAATTTCGCCGACAAAGAACGGCAATACCAACTCAAGTGGATAGACAGAGAGATCGATCATTTGGGCAAACTCAGGGCGCTCTTGGTGAAGCCCAAAACGTTCCACGAAAAACTCGAAGGAATTCAAACGACCACGTCCGTTTACATGGTATCCGAATGCAATGCAGCCAGGAAAACTTCCCCTAAAAGGAACTACGTTATTGAAACTAATTTGGGAGTGCAAGGTAATATTCATGGGACAATCTATAGACTGTATATAAAAATTTGTTGTTTTTAGGTACAGGGCCTCGTACGTTTCGTTTGAACGGCGAACATTACGTAGTATGCGAACCGGGTGGTACAATTAACGAAGAAAATCGTCCGGCTGTAGCCGATGTACAAGTTCATTCTGATGATAAAACGACCAATATTAGAGTAAAAACGATTTGCGGTATATGCAAGAAAGTACCGTGCATGTGCATTCCCATCGATCGGGATAATAGCAGCACCGGTTCCAGTAAACGATCCGACAAAAGGTACTTGTATTTTCGCTCATTCGAATCACCCTTTATAAATTCTTTTATTGATTACAGAAGCAGTTCGATTCCCAGGAGCGTTTGCGGCGCTTGTAGAAACGCCCCGGAGGCTTGTACTTGTAAACGTTTGGAGACCAAACGCAGCCAATCGTCTTGTAATTGCAGTACTACCGCTTGTAGTTGCGAATCGAAAGTTTCCAAAGTACCAGTCAGAGGATACATTGTGTGCCCTCATAAAAACGGGGAGGAAACGGAAGTGTGTCTCTGCGATTTGGGTTTGAGCGACGGTAAGTATCATTATACAGGGTGTCTAAAAAAGTTGGCAAGATATGGGACGCTTTTTTGGAATATATCCTAATCGATCATTGTTTGTAGGGGCGCAGGAAGAGGCTTCGAACGGCGAGAAATCCGGTTCGTTGGGTAAAATATTCAAAAATTGCCAATGCGGATCCCGAACCGAATGCGATTGTAGCTTCGTGAGCAAGCTCGTAAAGTACTTTAGTACCCAAGAGGATAAAACCCCATCGAAAGAAGAAAATTCACCGGCAGAAAAATCCCAAAACGTGAATGTAAACATCAACATCGATGGTACAAACGAGCTACCCGTTGTAACTTGCGCATGTTGCAATTCTACTACTTGTGTAAAACTAACCAAAGATTCCGATTCGAACGACTGCCTTTGCGATAAACCGGAAGAGCAAGTACCGAAGCAAAGCAAATGCTCGCCGGATTATCTCTGCGATTTAATCGCTAGGCTCGAGCAGGTTTTGCGAGACAAGAAACTAACTCGGGGAAGTACCAATGATTCGCCTGATAATGCTAATCTAGTCGATTGCGGTACCAACCGAGCTTTACGTATCGATAAAGGAACTGCTTGTTCTCCGGACGAGGCCGGTTGTACGAGCGAAACTTGCTTCGCTAATGCTGGTACTGTTACTGATCCTGTGAAAGTTAACCAGAGTACCAGTTACAATCCACCTGGGGATAGGTTACAGTGTAAAATGGACGATTTTTCCAATGGGAAACGATTGAAAAATGATGACGATAACGAAACGGTGCATTTGCAAGTCGACAAAGGCCTGAAATCGATCGATATGTCGTTTTGTTTGCGCTGTTCGAAGAGCAAAAGCGACGGATGCACCTGCGGCAAAAAGGTAGAGAGAAATAGACGTTTTTTTTTTGGTATTTGTTTATACGAAATATCCGTTTTAGAAAAAACACCACAAGAAGGGTTGCGCTTGTAGATGCCAAAATTGCTTGAATTCCAAAGGAAGTAGCAGCAATACTTCGACGAAAGAGGCCACAGACAAGTGTCAATGTGGACGTGTCAAAACCGGACGAACTTGCTACTGTAAAAAGAAGTCCAAAGAAGAAAACACGTCCGAAGGTGAGAGTAGTAATCTCGCCCTAATTCAAATCTCATCCCTTTCCGCCCGTGAAATGAACCCCATCAATCTTCCACTTCGATATTCTTCCATTCAAATTCCAATCCTACCGATGTTACTAAAGGTTCATTCGTCCGATTTTTAGGCGCCGTAACTCCCCAACATTCAAACCACTATCAAACGATATCCCTAAACCTTCCGCGTTGTTACCCAGAGGTGATGAACCCCGTTGATTCCATAGAAGAATATTCGCTGATGAAATTCGCGTTTATTTTCCAGGTTCTTCTACCGGTGCTAGTCTATCAACGGACTCCACAGCAACCCCTCTACTGGCATGCGCCCTTTGCGACAGGCCTCAACCCTCTCACGGGGTGTCTATGTTACGCACAAACACCGAAGAATATGCAGTTTGCTCCGAATGCATGGGGAAGAAACCCATTTTGACTGCGACTTGTTATATTGGACCTAACATCAACGTAAGTTCGGACGATTTGTACTTAGTATTTAGGTTTAAACCTAGAGGAATACGCGGTGAAATGGGCTTCGAAAATCCTGTGTTTAATAGAGCGTTTATTATCTTCTTTTTTAGGCTGAAGAAGAAGGTCCTTCGCATTCGTTTTGTACGTGTCCTAGAGATAAGGGTAGGAAAAGTAAGGAAAAATTCGAATATTGTCCGCATTGTAAGAGCCAATTGAGGCGAACTTTGAGAAGCGACAACGGCATCGCTTACACGTTGACGCTCGAAGATGAAAGGTCCCATTGTGGAAAAACCGGGAGCGTTAAGACAAACAAATTGAGAGAAATTAAGGTGATGATTGGCTTGTGATAACAGCGCTAGCAAAATGGGATTGTAGATTGTGGTTTAGAAATTAGAATTCCCCATGCACTTTACTCTAATTTACTCTTCTTTACTCTATGAATGATCTAGTCTACTGTAATCTACTCTACTCCCTTCTATTCTAATTTACTCCAATTTACTCTAATCTAGTCTTATTTACTCTTCTCCGTTCTGCTCTATTTGTCATTACTCCCTTCTACTCTACTCTATGCTTTACTCTGTTCTAATAATTCGAACAATTTCCTTTTCTTAGTGAATATTACAAATTATTGATTTATTCAGGTAAAGGTGCCGTGTCCTTATAGTCGAAAGGAAACAAAAAACGAGGTTAACAACACTAGGAAGGCGGAAAACGAAAGAAATGGCGAGCATGATGAAAACTGCTCTTGCGAAAATGGCGAAAAATCGCGCGAAAACTCGACGCTTAAAGGAAAAGGGGAAAATTACACTCTGCAGGTAAATTGGTAGTAATTATAAACCATTATGAAGTTACTACTTTCAGGTAAAATATTGCTGTTAAACTTGCTATTTAGATCATTTTGATCATTTTTACCAAGAAGATAACTGAATAAAACTGCTAAATGCGATTATTCGAACTTGCAGGAGCACTTGCAGATAAATCGTCCGGATTTCATCGATTCAGCGGAGTACAGGAGACAGGCGGTGTTGACTAATCGAGTGGAACGCGAGAGGAACAAGGACGACATGAAATTGAAGTTTCTGACTAAAAGCGAGGACGAGGCTTTGTTGCGGCGTAAATTGGATTCAATTAAACGGAATCGAATCATTCTAATTGGATATTTTTAGGTAAAAATAATAGATTGTTCACCGAACGGGAGATGAGAGAAATAACGAGGAGGAACTACAAGAAATTGCCGGAGGTTCGACGACGCGCCGACGTTTTGAGATTGGAGAAATTGAAGAGCGCCGATAAATATATCGCGGATGTTTTTAAAAAAGTACTATTATCACTTTTTCGTTGCTATTTTAATTTTATAATGTATTTTTTTTTGGTTCTAGAAAATCCAGAATTGCATTTTGAAAGGCAAAAGCAGTTTTCCGATCGATTCGAATATTGTTAATTATAAGTAATATTTTCGTAATTGTGTAACGACGAGGAGCATATGATGCTTGTGAATTGTAATTGTAATTTTGTAATTTGTAATAAAGAAAACGCATTGTGTAGAAATAAATGTTTTTCTGGCGGATAAAAGGTGAATAATAGTGCCTCTCCCGTTGTTCTCACTACATTTGAAATACTACAAATTTTTTCTATGAATCATATTAATCCTAAAGAGGCAACTAATTTATAAAAAATACAAAAGTTACTCCCTTTTTTTCAACCTCCTGTAGAATATCCCGCCAATTTTCCGACCCAAGAGCCATCTACCGGAAGAAAATGCAAACTATAATTTTATACTTATCCGCTTGATGGCGTTAGTTACGCGTTACTTTACACACAGTAGATGATTGTATTTTATAACTAGACAAACTGTTCGATCGTTACTCTGGTTTCTCTTCAGCAGCGAATAAATCTTTCGCCTTTTACTAAAGATTTCCGTGGAGAGGAACAACTCAAATGAGTCTGTAAACAATTTTTAGTGCCCAACATTTCGTGTTGGGCTTGTCAAATAATCAAAACATAAAATAAAGGTCTGTGGAAGTAACCAAAACGTCCAGTAAAGAATACAGTTTCTAAAACACATAAAAAGTCCCTTCTAAACGTCATAACTTGTATCAAAATTGTAAAAGTCGATGATTAGTCTCAACATTCGCAACATTTAGCGGCACTTTGTAGTTGACACTTTGACAGGTTATAAACTACAATTTGTAGTTTTTCCGCGATTTTCCGGTATTTTTTTTTCAACTTTACGAGTAGATTTTGTGTTTTTCGTTCGTTCTAGATAGTTTTTCGTGCGTTCTAGATACTTTTTCATGCAGTTTATGTACATTTATCGACAGTTTCTCCCGCGATTTTCGGCGTGTTTCGACCTATTTTTAAAGAGGGAACGGGACGATGAAGGCCCTTTTTCCCGATTAATTCCACATGAGACGTAAGTACTATAGTTTACAATCATTATTACCAATTTTCAATAAATACAAACAGATATTTTCGATAGTTCAGCACATTGAAATTTATAGGTAATGTTGTAAACTTACGAATAGTTTTTTAAATGTATATTTCTGTTTTGGAGGGTTGTGAAGCGTTGCAAATAAACACCTCTCCCGTAAATCGAATTGCAGCCTAAGGCTTCTATTATTTTCCACACAAAGTTAAGAAACTGTTAAATAGCACGTTCTAAAATGTAATGTGTATTGCCTAACTACTAGTACCAATAAGATAATTTTTAATAAAATTACTCTCTAATTTACTCTATTACCTCTCTACATTACTATATCAACAATAAAATTACTAATAAACCATCATAAGTTCACGAAACAATCTTCCCCCGTTCCAAATTTACCAATCAATAAATTGACATTCGTCCGACAAAATTCAACAAACGACACATAGATGGCGCCACAACGTTTTGTACACACCTCGCCTACGAAAACGTAGCCGAAGGCTTGTTATAGCGAGACAAAACGATGTACCGGTATCGCTTCTCGGCCTCTGGCTAAGATCAAAGTGTAGTATCTGTTCTTATCAGCTTAATATCTGATACGCTCCGCATGCGGAGCCAGTATATTAAACTGATTTTTGGAAATTGATGGGAGGTTAGGGGCTTGCTCCACTCCCGTCGCGGGTTGGCCCGGCATTGCAGTACAGCCGGGATCGGCCCATCTTTTATAATCAAAACAAAATATTATTTACTAGATCGAGTAGTATAGTGAACAAGTCAAAGAATCTTGATTTGTATGATGAAAATTTTTTATTCAGAAATATTCGAATGAATTATTTACACCGCTTGCTAAGTTTATAAAGCGCGTTTCAATTTGTGTTATTATGCTGAGGAGTTGTGCTAATGTTTTCAAATTTAAATGTTCTAAGGAGGAATTTATTTCTACCTGAATTTTCAAAAAATTTGTCAATAGTTTATTCATTGCATTTATCAATTTTTTTTAATAATTTAACTACCAAAAATTGTCAATTTTAGCCTATTTTTTATGTCTGGATTTCTCAATAAAATACTATTCAATTGAACATGAAAAATTCACCACATAAAAATACTGATTATTCAATGTAAAACAACCCCGAATTTATCCCTATTTCTAACCCCCTCGCGGGCATTTTAGGTGTTAAAATAAGGAGCTGCAGCAGCAACGGAGCTACATCTATAAAACATTTTATCCCACAATGCATTTATACTCTTGCATATACGCGGTCGCGACAATAAAGAAACTCCACTCGGAAAAAAAAACGACATATTTAATCTCAGCACCGAGGATTGAGTTTAAAATATGCATAAATAATGTAAAAGAAGGCATGTTACATTTTAGTCTGCCGTATTTATTTTATTATAAGCGCGTTCGCATAAGTCGAGGATTTATTGTAATTATACAGAGTGTCTCATTGGTAAATCAACCTTCTATAGGTATTCTAGATGCATAGTTTTATAGAATTATTTAATTGGTAGGTAATAACTATTGCAAGTTCCTAAGGAGTAGGGTATAAAATTTTAATTACATCAAATTTCGTTATATTTTTGCATCGTTTAAATTAAATAATCAAATAATTGTATTTCACTTCTTGTGAGTCAAAATATTTCAAAAAAAAGCAATTGTATCTTTGGAGATTTTTTTGGAAATTTGTGGATAGGTATAATTACATTAAACCACCAATGTTTTTGTCTATAAAAGCTAACTTAATTGAAAACACTGTAACGTTCACCGCCGTGTTAAATTAAAATGACTTTTTTTACGATGAAAATTTATTAAAATAATCAAAAAAAAACGTCTCGACTGTAATTAGATTACAAATTAGATTATGACACAGGGAATTGTTTTTACAGTCCTCATTAAATTCATTTCCTCTGTAGGAAACAATATCAGTATACCAAATAGTCCAATTTTTTTATAAGTAGGTAACTATTCTAAAATCTCCACTGATGCACTAAAATTTTGACAATTCTCTCGAAAAATCTCTTTTAAAACTATTCAAACTATTCAAACCAAGCCCAAACTACTGCAGACAGTACCCAAACCTAAAATAAGAAATCTAAATTTTTTTTCACCCCAAATCCACCCTGTACAGCCATCCATCCCCGACCCGGCAACATCAAAAAAAAAACTCCAAACCCGCCTCGCGGTACTTCCCCCCCTCGCCCAGGAGCCGCAGGATCGATTTACAGCAGGACATTATTGCGTATTTCAGTACGCGCTCATCAACAAATGACCCGCGAAATAGACAAGACAATAGAGCGTTCCTGTAGCCCAGACAATGAGCGTACTAGGCCGGTGCCCGTTTCGAACTCGCCGCCGGTACCACCGCAGCGCCTCGTCGTACCTCGTACAAGAAAGGGGGGCGCGCGGGGGGCGCGGAGAAGGCGCCTTGGAATGCGGTGGGGGCCGCTACAGCGCCGCAGCCGCTCAAACTCGAAAGAGGCTCAGTTCATCTCGAGATTTGAGCGCGAGAGTACCGCCGGTCAGACCGAGTCGCGCGGACTTGACTTTACTTTAACCCCCCTTTTTTTTTGTTGTTGTTGTTTTTGTTTCGTTACCTCTTTTGTATTTGTTTAGTTCTGGTGTATTTAATCGAGTGATCGCATCTCGGGGTAACTAGGAATTTGGTACCGTCGGTGGAGAGTGAATTTGTCGCGGGTTCGTGCGGAATGTCGTGTTAATGTGGTACTACTTATTTGGATTAACACTCGAACGATTTGTATGTAAAGGACGTTATTCCTGCAGGTAATACGATTCGTTTAAACAGGAACGATTTCATATAATTTCGAATAGTAGTACCTACTAACAGTACTATTTCTGCGCGGTACCAAAAAAACCTCATTAATATTTAAATTTTAAAAGTTTTAAACGGGTTAGTGTTCCGATAAATCATCGAAATCTCCGATTCGAATTGGCGACTTTAACGCCAGGTTAGACAACAAAACAAACCTAAATTTATTACCCGAAAATTACATATAGGGAAGCGACCGATATATTACATAAATCAAACATAATTCCAACAAAACACGAAAACATAACCTATTAGAAACGAGACATCGATGTGGTATAGATTTATTTAATATTTTTTTTTTTGTTCGGGTGAAGTGTTGTTGTGGGATTATTACAAATAACACCCGAAGCTGTCGAGGTTTCAGAACGGCACTTCAAAGAATCTGGTAAATTGGGGAACCATTACAAACATTTTTAGAAAGAGGCCGCCTCGGATCCTTCGGTTGTGATGGTGCTCGAAAGAAGAACTCGACTGGGCATGTTTTCAGTGATGGTAGTAGCGTTGGTTGTTTTGATTGCGGAGGTTTCGGCTCTTTTTTTTGGGCGGTTTTCGAAATATCTGGCTTACGATGGGATTCGATCGTGGCGAATTTTTATTCCAAAAATTGCATTCTTTTTGATCGGATAAAATGGGAATATTATATGTTTTAGTTAGCGGTTTTATTGTTATATAGGAGGCGATTATTAGATTAAATTTTAATGCATAGTTTGTCTAATCGTGATTGTAAATTATTTTTATGGGTTTTTAATAGTTCCTAGTGATTTTTTATGGGTTTTTCAAATGTAGCAATTCTATAGATTTTTTGAAAGCATTTTGAAGTATTTTTACTCAATAATTTAAATATCTAACGTTTATATTTAATAATTTATCGAAAATATCACTAAAAGTTTTTAATGGTTATCACTTTAAGTCTAATTTTAACCCATTTGAATCCATCAATTTTTTTTATACTCGTAAAATCTGACAAACTAATTTACATTCAATAATCTACAAAACTAGAAGAATTTCAATTCAACCAAACTTCTTATCAACTTTTATAGAATATTTAATTTCGAACAATATTTATACTAAAATTATTTTCAAATTTACCAACTCTTTTATAGATACAGTATATTAGGTAGGTTGATATTGTAAAGATTTTTTTTCAAAATTACATCAATCACTTAACGGGAATAAACACGAGAAAGCACACTATACAATGTACGAAATTACCATATTAATAGTTAATTCCGTTCTAAAAGGTCGTCGGATCAATTGATCGAATCCCATTCAATAATATCATTTAACAACAAACTTATATATTTCCTCGGAGGAATTAATAACATCAGCATTATAGAGTTTTCATCACTAAATAAATTCCGATTATTTTCGTATTTGCATAATCGTTTCAGGTGTTAATGATCATTAAATAGGTGTAAAAAGTTTAAGTGCTTATTCAATTTAATAATAAAAATATTAAATAGCTTATATCATTATGCCGGTATAATTCTCGTAAAAGTATCTAATAAAATTGTTTCAACTTATATATTCCATGCAGTTTAATTTCACTTCAACTCCACATAGAAATGAATAAAGATTCGATTCGTCTAGAATAAAATATATATAAGATTTGAAACATTGTTAAACACCGATTATAACGTGATATCAATAAAACTTAAGTTATTGGCACATTTATCAAATCATTGACAACCAATTAAAATTATTATTAGCCTGTTTGTTTATGTAAATGGAAGAAGGCGATATCGATATACCTATATAAGTATATAGAGACACTCGATTATTAAATATTTGATATTCGATTCGAATTTAGAAATTTCAATCGGGGACGCTCATTCAATTATGTAATAGGTACCAATTTCGTTTAATTTATCGACAACGATAATAAGTACCTATAGAATTAAAACAAATCAAATCAATTTAATGAATGCCATATGATGTGCTCTATACATCCTTTTACTTTCATTTTATATTATTTAATTAATATCTAGGTATATATTTATGTTTTATTTGAATAGGTAATTGTAATAATTTATATTGACTGAGTGTCAAGAATAGAGCAAAAGTAGGTAGTAGGAAAACTGTTATGTAGAGGACCTCTGGTTCTGTTGGTTTCCATTTTCAGTATAATTCATATTACTTATAGATGCTAGTAAATTTAATAGGTAATTGTAATCATTTATAAACTCTACTGAGTGTCAAGAATAGAGTAAAAGTGGGTAGGAACCAAACTGTTAAGTTTTGCATGTTGTGTTGGTTTCCATCTTCAGTACAA